TTATGAATTAAAGACATTAAGTATTTAAAGATCAAAGACGACCTTCAATTCGTCTTGCTACTGTCATGTTTCTGAACACTAGCTAAAAACTCCCAACTCAAATATACGCAAATCCTGTATTCTATTCTCTGGGATCAAACAAACACAGTTGATAAAACGTAGGTGGGCATTGAAAATAATATGTTAGGTTGGCTGGTTGGTCAATTGGTTTGTTGGTCAGTTGGTTCTTTGATCAATAGGTTTGTTGGTGCTGCTCCTTAACTCTGACACAAGTTGCAAATAATCTCGTTAACTGATATATTTCAAACCTAAAATAAATTGTAGGTATACAAAAATTAATTGCATTATATAAATGTTACTGAATGATTGACAATATAACTTACTATTTTATTGTGTCAGGGTGATTAAGGGTTGGAGGGTTTTATGGAATAGTTTAAAACATATGTGGATACTTCTGAAAATATAAACCAAGTTGTTTATGTGGAATTTACTATGAATTGCAAAGTTATCTATGGATTTGATTTTCACCAGCAAACGTTTCAGTGTTTCAATTTTCCTTTGTTGGGGTAGAGAGGTGGAGTCAGAGAAATAGTTTGGTTTGGATTTGGGGCTGGTAAAAATTACATTATGGGGGGGGGGGGGAAAGATAGGTTTATGGTCAACAGCTTTATGTAAACTTTTACAAAAAAACAATATAGGATCAATTGAATGAATTAATATTTCAAATTTGTCAATTAAGAGATTCTTTAAATTATTGTGGAGTCTACTATGAAGAGATATATTTTGATCTTAGGTTGGTTAAGCCATAAAAGGTAAACAAAAATAAAAACAGCAAGCGCAGATCTAAATGCAGTGCATGGGGACAAAATTTTGGAGGCTCGTAGATGTAGCGAGAAGCACGGAGAAGATTTTGCGGGGCCTGGAGGTCATTCTGAAAATCTGGAGGCTCAGATGTCATTTTTGCGGGGCTCATGGCGCCTCTGCACCTTCTCCCTCATTGTGAAAGCAAATCTCAAAGAAATCAGTTTTTATTTGTTTATTATCATTTCTATTTTCTGTAATGTATATTTCTATGATTTTAAGAATCTTCATATACACCTCCCCCTTCACACACATGAATGATGTTTTGCCCTTGGATTCTTTGTTTTGATCTCCTCCCACTACCTGCAATAGTATACAGATTTGACAAACCGGTTTGATCTCCTCCCACTACCTGCTATAGTGTACAGATTTGACAAACCGGTTATGGTGGTTATCTATATTTAGAAGTCTAATTCAAGTACCTTACCAATTCTTTATCTCAGATTTGGTTTTGGGATATAATCTGACTTATCTCAGATTTGGTTTTGGGATATAATCTGACTTAAAATAAAAAATCAAATATAAATTATTTAAGAAATTTACTCTCAAAAACCAATGCATATTTTCAATTGGCAATTGCCATGGCATATTTTTTTCCCTGAAGTATACGATGAAAAATGTACAACCAAGAAGAAAATGGAAAACAAGAAATATAGAAAAGTTAGAATATTCTTATCTGATATTATCTATTTACTTATAAATTATTGTTAAAATTAAAAGTTAGAGAATAATTTTGTAAAAAAAGATGATTTTACAGACAGTCTTTTTTCTTAAAACCCGAACTAGGACGAATGTAACAGAAAGTGCATTTACCTGTTCATGCTACATTTTAATATATCAATTACAACATTCATATATATATATATATATCATATTGTAGTTTATTGAGGTATTTGCGTATTAAAATTTGTAAAGATATATTTTTTTCTTTTTGAGCAGGCGTATACTATTTTCTAAATATCCTTCCATTTTTCTGTTGTATAAACTATAAAGTCATTTTTTAGGAATAAGCAATTTATAACAATAAATTCTTAGATAGATAATCATTAAACTGTGGCGCCCCTGGATTCCTGGAATGCAGTACACAGCATATTCCATACTTCACATGTTATTGTTTAGATTATGATAATCTAGAAGATTAATCTCAAGAAGTTTTGTGTGGGAAGGTTTGTCCAGGGATGTTAACTTATGGTCTCAATCCTGCCTGGACTGTCAACGGAGCAAGATTCAAACCCACATCAAGTCTTCCATCCAACCTATACCTGTTCCTGGACGGAGGTTTTCTCATCTCCATGTAGATCTAGTTGGCCCCTTACCTCAATCCTCTGGGTTTAAGTTCTTGTTTACCATCGTGGACAGAACAAGTGGATGGCCGGAAGCAATAGCAATAATTAGTGGGGAGAAAAAGATTTTAAAGTATTTTAGTGGACCGCATGCATCGGACCTATAATTGTATATCTTGAAATAGGTTCGGTAAGAGGTTAAGGCTGGTAAAGGGAGTTGGATAGTATTTAGATATGAAAAAACACGAGGAAACTATTCCACATTTCTTAAAAACTGCTCAATGTCTATTTCCATAAATTCATTTATTTGTGCAGGAGAATGAAGCGGGTACATCTGAGTGGTTTGAGATTATGCCCAGGTCAGGAGACTGGAATGATATGAACCTTGATCAATTCACTGTTTGTGCTTGGGTGTTTAATACATTCTATGGAACCTCCTTTAGGTACTATTTATTAAATTAAAGTTTTTATTTCAAGGTTGGTTTTAATTGTCATTCACAAAACAAAAATGAATCAATACGGAAATAAAAAGGATATATCTGTTTTGTGTTCAACTAAATATGTTCACAGAATTATCAATTACAATGAAGAAGATGTTGCTTATCTTAAAAATCCTTACAATGCATCATCTTTGTTGTGATGATTAATTTTTAACTAATTTTTTTATCAGCCATTGGGGGGTTGAGCATTAAGACAGCCATTGCAATTAAAAAAAATCCCACCTTTTCAAAATAAAACTTAAAAAATTACACCTTATATTGAAATTAGAAAACCAATGTTTTTATGTTGGAAAAAGTCTGTTCATGTTTAATTTATTGAAATAAGCTGAGAGTGGATCATTAAAGAAAAACAAATTAGGATAATTTGATTTCTGGTTCACATAATTTTCCTGGAATTATAAAAAGTTTTCCTTTTCTTTTTCCATAAGGGAATTAATCAAAAGTATGGTCTACAAAGTTTTTTGTTTTATTTAAATGTTGATGTAGGGATGCTAACGTTTTCATTATTTTGAAAAACGATCGTTTCGTTATAAAAACGACGGCAAAAAATCGAAAACAAAACGATCGTTTTTAAAAACGATCGTTTTTCAAAATGATCGTTTTTTATAAAATTCGTCGTTTCTTTAACGATTGTTAACGATGAACCTTCGTTAACGATCTTTAACGACGAACCTTTGTTAGTGATTGTTAACGACAACCCTTCGTTAACGATCGTTAACGACAACCCTTCGTTAACGATCATTAACGACGACCCTTCATTAACGATCGTAAACGAAGAGAGGAAACCGACCTAAAGGGCATCTGTACTAATCATTTAGTAGTTTTAAGAAAATATCAAAAAGTTTTAGCTCCCCCACAACTGTTAAACTTCATGTAAGACGACGTTCAATAAAGTTGCATGTAATTTATTTTTTTAAACTATAGTTTTTCCAAAAACGACCGTTTTTATAGTCTGTAGTTTCGTTAACGATCGTTAACGACAACCCTTTGTTAATGATCGTTAACGACGACTCTTCGTTAACGATTGTACACAACGACCCTTCGTTAACGATCGTTAACATAATTGTCAATACATTTTTTTTAAACGATCGTTTTTTCAAAAATGATCGTTTTTTTTAAAACGATCGTATTAAAAACAGTGCCAAATCGTTTTTATAAAAAGGATCGTTTTCAAAAACGATCGTTATTTGTTTTCAAAAAGTTGAAAACTCGAGTGGGTCGTTTTTAAAAACGATTGTTTTTTTTCGAAAACGAAACAGTCATTTTTGAAAAAGATTGAAAAATGAAACAAAAAACGATCGTTTAACGATCGTTTTCAAAAACGATTAACAACCCTATTAAGTGGATGCATCTAATTTAATAAAATAATGTTTTAGTACCCTGTGGACCTTTGGCTCCTTGAAACTAACAGATATAATTCAGCTTTATATAAGAACAGAAATAGAAAATGGAAATGGTGGAGTTAAGGTGCTTTTCAATGCCTGGGTAGCTGTTAATGAAACAAACAATGTTCGCACCATTTTAGGAAGGTAAACAGTTTGCCACTAGATGTCTCTGCTTTCGATGCTTTAAATGATTACATGTGGCAGAGACACCTGGCGGAAAAAAGTTGTTTTAAGTTCACTGTATATAAAACAAATAACAAATATTATGAAATATTAGCTATATACGAATGAGTCGAGAAATAATCAATTACTTTAGGTTGTAATATCTAAATGATTTGTTTGAAATTAAATTGATTCTTTTACGATACAAGTCGTATATTGCAACTTTCTGAATTTGTATGGACACTACGTTCTTCAGTATAAGTCTTTTTTTTTAACAATTTTGTCCTTATAGACGCAACAGATAGAAGTATGATTAGTAGAAATCAAAAGCGATTATTTTTCACTGTAAACCTGTACCTCCTTTTATATTTCGCGAACACTCCCTTTAATCCCAAAAGAAAATGATATCCAAGCATGTATTCAATGCAGTGAGATACTGTATAATATAACTGGAAGTCATTGAAGCAGAGTTTAGAAAGCATATTTGTGATTTATTGCCCTACAAATTTATTTAACCAGTAAAAATTTGGTTTAACTAATTTATGATCTTAAATTAAAATTCAACCAAATCTTTTTGAATTAAACATCACAAGAGTCAAAGCTCCTACATCTCAAAAGAATGTAAGGTTCAGTAGAAGACAAAAAAATGTTTTTAACGATTTAAAAAGAGACTTTTAGTCCAACAGTTCTACATTGCACATTCTTACTAAATCTAATATTTTGAGTTTTGACTTAAAAATAAAAATAAAGAAACCTCAGTTTCTCTAAAATCAATTCATTTATCTTTAATATTATTAAATTAGAGTAAAATGCTAAAAATAAATCAACTATGCTTTAATTTGATCTGAGCAATTCAGCCCCTTTCCTTAGTTGTGAATATAAATCAAGTATTTTTGCCTAGCACAATGCTTCATCGTGAATTGATTCACATGTGTTGGCTAAATAATGGAACCACCAGTGAAGCTTACATTAATGGAAATATCAGCTTAGATTATTTGTCTCCTTCTCCTTTTAAAAATATAAATATGGATAAATCCAGCAACTATTCTATGATATTTGGACAGGAAGCTGACTCATTCAAGGGAAGTTTTAATTCTGAACAATCATTCAGAGGAAAAATCTCTGAATTTCATATTTGGAACTACACCCTATCTGAAAACATTATCAAAGAAATATCCAACTGTAAATCTACACTTAAAGGGAACATAGTTTCATGGGATACAGAATATATCATATTTCATAGTGTAAGCCCGGAGCACACAAACATTGAAACGCTTTGTGCTCCTTATGACAAAGTGATATTTATCAAAGATACAATGAATTACAAAGATGCTGAACAATATTGTAAGATTCACAAAGGATATCTTTACACTCCAGAGTCAAAGCTTAGGAATGACTGGATGGTAGGGATGATTCTAAAATTTAACAAGACATGTGAAAAGGATTCTTGGATAAACAGATCACCTAATTTGGACAAAAAAATGGAATCAGGATCAGAAAAACATTTCAACAATTGGGAAAGGAATGTTATTGAAGATAACTGCTCAACAATAAGACCAGATGGAAAATGGCTTACTCAAACAAAACATATTTGTGAATATCAAACCAAATGTTTTGCTTGTGCATTTGTTCATGAGCCTGTATTTACATTAAAAGGATTTTGTTTGGATTTTATACCATCATATAACTACTACATTAACCATGGAGAAAATGGAATGCAGTACATTGGATATAAAGATAGCTCAATCATCAGGAGTCTAAATGGATGGAAATTGTTGGATAAAAAAGGAACAGAAGTTATTAGTACAACTAAAGACACTGAAACCCCACTGGGAAGAATTTTATGGTTTGGGACTAATGAGGACTGCAAGCTTATTAAAGATGAAATTTTGCTCACTATTTCAAGTTGTAATATGCATCAGCAGTTCACTTGCAACTCTGGACAATGCATTGATATTGAGATGTATTGCAATAATCACTTTGATTGCAATGATGGCTCTGATGAAGATGACTGTACACATATAGTTATAAATCCAAGATATTTTATCAATAATCCTCCTGATGTAGAACATATGAATAACTCCATGTTTATAAATGTTAAAATAATTCAATTTGACAATATTGATAGTCTGAAAATGACTATAACTCTCACAATGGATGTACAAGTATCTTGGAAGGATCCAAGACTTTTTTTTAAAGGTATTTCTCGATATCAAGGCCCTGGAATGTCACGCAGTAATATACATGGTAAATATCTTAACAAATCAATAAAATTTCTTAATAAAAAATGTCCACTGTGCTGTCAGTTAATTATATTCTATACTCGACATATTGTTATCTTATATACTTTGCTTGTCGGTTTGTATCCAATAAACATAAAAACGGCTGAACCGATTGGGCTCAAATTTTGTGTGGGACTTCACATGTCCCCAGGGAAGGTTTATAGATTGAAGAGAAAATGTTCAAAACTAAAATAGAAGATGGGTGCGAAGCAACCCTAAAGCTTAGTTCTTTAAATTGGTTTTAGTTTTTTTCAATTATAGATGGCTTGAAGGATCAGATTTGGAAGCCTTGGATTTATTTGGAAAATGTGATATTGGGAACAACTGTTGTTGGAGAAACATCTAGTTTACAAATAGTTCAAACAGGCCCTGAACAGACCGCATCAGTCAAGAATGCCAATGAGTTTATAACATTTGATGGCAATAATGTGCTGCTGTTTCATTTACTAAGGTTTCAGGTAAGATAATCAATTTAAACTTTAAGTGCTAAGGATAATCTTGATTTGATCAGGGACAATTCTTTTGTAACATGGACATCTTTATATTCCCGTTTGACAGGCAGATGTGCAATATTTCAATTATGTTAAGGCAAGTATAATTCATTATACTTTGTGGGAAACACACTTAATTAGGCTTTATTTAAGATTTGGTGACTCTGCTATGGTGAAACTTGTACCAGATTCAGAAGATGCTGTCAGTTATAAAGGTCCTAAAAACCTCAGACTATTCCAAGTTGGAACATTAAAGTAGGAAATAAATATAAATATTAAATCAGGTGCAGAGTGAATTATAATTTTTTTTATTTAGCTGGACTTCAGAGACAGTGGGCACCGATTCTAAATTCATCTTCTCCATTAAGCTGGACAGATTATTCTCTGAGCTATTGATCTCAATATTCTTTCAAACATTCCTCCTTTGGTTCTTAGCATTTCTAACTCTTTTTATCAGGGTAAAGGTTTTATTGTGTTCATTATATTTTTTACTTTTTATTTCAATTACTTACAGTTGGAGAACTTCAATGAACGTGCAATGGGTGGCATCACAGTGTTGTTGGTGTTGGTGTCACTTCTGGCTTATGTCAAGGTAATAAAATGTTTTTTTTAAATTATCAAACTTGAGCTGAGATTTTAAAAGTTAAGCTCAAACTTTAATGTGCTTGAAACTTTGCTCCATCGAATTCTCCACTCTCAAACTTAGCAAAAATATTCAGTTTTTAGAGTGTGCTTATTTTATATAGAAACTAATTTTGACACTACAAATAATTTTGGAGTCTAGCTTAAGCAATAGACTTAGCTAGCCTTTCTTTACATAATTACCTCAATAAAAGGAAATGATCCATTTTGTGTAATGTTCTTATTTAGTAAAAGAACTAAAGCTGGGGTTTTCTTAGATTAAAACTTTAAAAATTTAAAACCCAAATTGATAAATTGGAAAATGATTTCAGTCAAGTGTTCCGACCACCTCTGGACTTATTTTGATCGACATTTGGTTTGTCTGGTTTATCACAAGGTAAATCTTTTGCAATTATTCATGCAATGACAGATGCACAGATTTTTTTATGAGCTGTGGTAATATTGAGAAGAGAGGCATTGCATAAAATTAACATTACTTGCTCTATTCCACCCATTGATCAAATGAATTCAATACTTAAGTGTTTTCCTGGTGATTATTTCTGTTGGAATTCTAGAAAATATCCGACATCAGGTATATCAGGCTTTTCTGTTAGCTATAGGGTTAATTAAGTACAGGGCTTTCCATTAGGTAGAGGGTAATCCACTATTTACAGGGCTATCCATTAGGTAGAGGATAATCCACTATTTACAGGGCTATCCATTAGGTAGAGGGTAATCCACTATTTACAGGGCTATCCATTAGGTCCAGGCAGAGTTGTTAATCGTTTTTGAAAATGACAGTCAAATGATCATTTTTTTAAATTCATTTTTCGATCGTTTTCAATAATAATTGTTTCGGTTTCTGAAAAAAAATGTCGCTTTTAAAACGATCGTTTTTTTTCGTTGTTTCGACCTTGTTTTCATAACGAAACGATCGTTTTTAAAAAAATGAAAACGATAACATCGCAGGTACACTATTGTGTATAACATTATGTACAGGGTTATCCATTTGGTATAGGGCCGGTTATCCATTTAGTATAGGGTAATCCATTATGTACAGGGTTATCCATTAGGTGCAGGGTAATTCACTAGGTACAGGGTAATCCATAATGTACAAGGTAATCCATTAGGTACAGGGTAATCCATTAGGTACAGGGTAATCCATTAGGTTCAGGGTAATCCATTATGTACAGGGTAATCCATTATGTACAGGTTTATCCATTATGTACAGGTTTATCCATTATATACAGGTTTATTCTTTATGTACAGGTATATCCATAAGGTACAGGGTAATCCATTATGTACAGGTTTATCCATTATGTACAGGTTTATCCATTAGGTACAGGGTAATCCATTATGTACAGGTTTATCCATTAGGTACAGGGTAATCCATTATGTACAGGTTTATCCATTATGTACAGGGCAATCCATTATGTACAGGATTATCCATTAGGTACAGGTTATCCATTATGTACAGGATTATCCATTAGGTGCAGGGTAATCCATTATGTACAGGTTTATCCATTATGTACAGGTTCATCCATTAGGTACAGGGCTATCCATTATGCACAGTGTTATATGTGAGGTACAGGGTAATCCATTATGTACGGGTTCATCCATTATGTACAGGGTTATCTATTATGTACAGGCTTATCCATTATGTACAGGTTTATCCATTATGTACAGGTTTATTCATTATGTACAGGTACAGGGTAATCCATTATGTACAGGTTTATCCATTATGTACAGGTTTATCCATTATGTACAGGGTTATCCATTATGTACAGGTTTATCCATTAGGTACAGGTTTATCCATTACGTTCAGGGTTATCCATTAGGTACAGGGTAATTCACTTGGTTCAGGGTTATCCATAAGGTACAGGGTTATTCGTTAGGTACAGGGTAATACCTTATGTACAGGGTTATTCATTAGGTACAGGGTAATACCTTTTGTACAGGGTTATCCATTATGTATTGGGTTATACATTATGTACAGGGTGATACATTAGGTACAGGGTTATCCATTAGAGACAAGGTTACCCATGATGAGCAAAGTTACCCATTAGGTTCAGGGTTATCCATTATGTACAGGGTTATACATTGTGTACATAATAAATTACAGGTTTATCCATTAGAGACTGGGTTACCCACTAGGTTCAAAGTTACTTATTAGGTACAGGGTTATCCCTTATGTACAGGGTTATCCCTTATGTACAGGGTTATACATTGTTTACATAATACATTACAGGTTTATCATTAGAGATAGGGTTACCCACTAGGTTCAAAGTTACCTATTAGGTACAGGGTTATCCAAAGGAGACAGAGACCCATGAGATAAAAAAATCTCCAAATTCCTGATTAATGTGGAACTATTCAGGACTATGAGTACAGCAGGAAACTAAACAACATTGCTAAAGTATTCTTTATCATCTGTACTCTTGTATTTATCTGTGGATATACAGCAGTTATTCTGGAATACTGAACATACAGACCTACCCACAAGTGATAAGTCCTCCAAGACGACTTTACACTCTAAGAAATGACAAAGGAATTGAGTTTTTGCCAAAAACTCAAATCTGCTGATCCCAATATCTTTGCAACCTGATGCTGCAAACCTTTTATATTTTAAACTTATTTTACCTATAAGTATTATTAGTTTGAAATATCTAAGGTTTACGACATTGGGTTACAAAGATATAGAGATTAGAAAATCAGAGTTTGTGGCAAAAACTCAATTCCTTTTCATCCAACAAAATTTGTTGGAACACTGGAGCCAAAATCAACTTTGCTGCATCATTCGTCAATTTTTTTTTTGGATGTAATTGATCATTTAGTCATTTGATAGAATATTGAAGATACAGACCTACCACCAATAATAAGTCTTCAAAGACGACCCTACACTCAAAGAAATGAACAATTTTTATCTAACAAAATTTGTTGGAGCACCGGATCCAAAATCAACTTTGCAGCCTCAATCTAGCTTCTACTAGTTGAATTCGGACCCGGTGCTCCAGCAAATTTTGTGAGCTGAAAATTTGACATTTCTTAGAGTGTATGCATTCTTTCCGGCTTTTTTACATTCCCGGTTCCCTGGAGCTAAAATTGTAAACTTGTTTCTTGATTTTATAAATATATGTATAAAAGAGTAATTTAGAATTACATTACATTTGAAATAAGCTAATAAAATGATAAACTCCAACTTTCAAATCATAATATCTTTGCAGTTTGATGTGGCAGCATTAAAAACATAAAAAGCTTAATAAATTAGACTCTGATCAGATCTGATCAGATCGTCCTTTATAGAAAGTTTTGGTTAGTCAATAAAAAAGCTTATTCTTTGTAGGTAACTCTGTATCTTTGATGTGATACCTTAAATATAAATCTATTATAAAATTCGAAATAAATGTTGTTGTTTTTTTTAAATATTTAATTTTGTTATTCCGAATTCTAAACTTCATCAGAAATTATATCAATTTTTAGATGTTCGGGAAGATTTTATTAATGTAATAAATCCAGAAATTTTTTCAAAAATAATAAAATAAAATATAACGAAGAGCGAAAAAATAATTTGTAATTGCCATTTAGATCACAACCAACGTTTTTTTGTTACCATAAATGGACTGTAAACGTAATGACCATCCATTGATAGAGCTTGGCATGGCCTATATTCACTATGGAACGCTTTGTCTGATCAAGTATGAAATATCCATGTTGTTGTGTTGAAGCAGTTTATTTTCATTTGGCTTTCTTTACTGCAATCTGCTTCATAAACAACGGAGAAATGAACAAAATTAGATGAAAAATAGATATAAATATTACGATATTTTCCATATTATTGATCTGTTGTGAATCAGGCATGCCCTTTCTTACAGGAGTATCGCTTCAAATTACAACAATATTCCCTTTAAAGTAAAATTAGCCTTATATAGTTTCAGGCATAATTAGATTTACAATTATTCAGACGACTTTACAATCTAATTTTACAGATATGATTGATATAACGATAATCACGATATAGTCCTGCCATTTCCAAAATGTGGTTACCATTTTTTGAGCATCTAAAATTGCTTTATATATATAAAATTGTCTGATTAACTATCAATTAATTCTAACTATTTATAGTTATCGCAAAGCGTTGGGCGACAGCTAATTTTTGATAAAATAAAAGAAACTTCCTTGAAAGTTAAGGAAAATTTTAGCCTTATTGCTTAACTGCCTGCTTAGTGTAATGTACATAATTGGTCTGGGTATAAAGAAAAATACACAACATGTTATGTTTTGTTCTAAAGTTTGTTTTTGTATTTAGAAACAATTTATTCATGAATTACGTAGTATAAATACGTGATGCTTAAAAGTAAAACTTAGAATTTTAGATATTGATGTACAGGATGTTCAAAGAAACATGACGATTGAAAGACGGTTGAAAGATCGTCTTTATTCTTTGCGGTATTCATTCGTCAACCTACTTTTAGAATAGATTTTTATGAACTGAATAAATTTTTTTCATTCTGGGGTGCGGGGATGTAAGTCAATATTTTAATTACTCCCCCCTGGAAAATATCGTAAGCTGCCCTTTAATAGAACCGTGAGACTGATCTAAGATTTAGTGCATACAATTTTTTGTCCGTGACTAGTGCAGTTTTTACAATTGCACCGAAAATTGTGGTTGCAGGATTTTTTCGTAGAGTAATGAATTACACAGAATCGTTTATTGTATGTGTATGCTTGCATATTTTAGAACAGACTAAAAAATATAGATAGATAAATAATTTTTAACTTACTGTCACAAGAAATTGATAACAAAAAACTTAGATTTGATTTAAAGAGAGTGTTCTCGAAAAATGAAAGGGGTTTAGGCTAACGGCGAAAAATCGCTGCTAATCTTACTTCTATCTGTTCCCTCTATTAGGAGAAAATTGTTAAAAAAAGACTTACACTGAAGTTGCACTGAATCCATAGACGTAGAATCCATACAAATTCAGAAAGTTGCAATATACGACTCGTATCTGAAAATAATCAATTTAATTTCAAACAAAAATTATTCACATATTTCAACCTAGTCATCAATTATTTTACGACGCATTCGTACGAAGTTAATATTTCATAATATTTGTTATTTGTTTATTTACAATACACGTAAAACTACTTTTTTACGCTAGGTGTCTCTGCAACGTGTAATCATTCAAAGCATCGAGAGCTGAGACATCTGGGGGCCTATACCCCTTCCATATTTCGCCTATCTCCCTTTAAATGTTCTACTAATTTTTGGCTCTTAATGTTTTTTATTGAATAAAGACCATTTTTATCAAAAAACCTTTTTTTTTATTAACAACTGTTGGCTAGTTACAGGGATCGACTGTGTCTATAGAGGTAATTATAAGCTACCATCTATTTATGTCGAATTGGTAGTAATTTTGGAATGTAGTCTGTTTAAAAGGGTTCTCATTAAAAAGAATATCTTTTTTAGTTTTCCTGATTCCATCTCCACCCCCTCCCTCTCTGCTCTCCCCTCATAACCATCATGATGCCTTTTAAACCCGTTGTCTAAACAACAAAAACGAAGATATAAATGCAAAGAGAATAGAATATATATATATTCTATTCTCTTTGTATAAATGTATTAATAATTTAATATCCGAATAATTTGGTTTCTCTGTAAGACTTTTTTGCTACAATGAGAAGGAATTAAATGGACAGAATTAAACACGTCTAAAGTTAAATTTTTTCATTTTTGTTATTACGTTCACAGTCCCTTTAATATTAAAAATGTTTCAAAATAAAAGGGTTAAATCTATAATTTTGTTCTCATATTGTCAATCAAGAAATAAACACGTTATTAAACGGAGTTTCTAAGTACAAATCATTTTTTTTTAACAGTATGCAATGTAAATATGTACTATATGTACCCTAATTATAAATCTCTATTAGTATGCATTAAAAGGTAAGTATTGTAGTAATTAACCAACTAATTTCATTAGGTCCGACACAGCAGGTTATCACATGAGAAAAAACAATTAGTTACGTGTTTTGTTAAAAACTGGCATAAAAATGCAAACTGATAACACGAGATAATTAATTGGGTTTTTTTGTAAGATTATAAAAACCTAAAAATTTCCAAAACACGTTTATTTTGGTGATATTTATTTATTTATTTTCAGTACCCCTGCAGAGTGTAAGGGTTTAGGCAAACTACACGAGATAATGGAGGGTTTTTTGTTATCCATTATCTACATTTAGTAAAACATATTATTCTCTTTCATATTCTCTTGTTTTATAAAAACAAAACACGTTTGTACTTTGTATAATTAAACAAATAATACGGATATTTGCTCCACGTAAATGTACTTTTTTCAATCTAAATTTAATTTAATTAAACCGCCACGAAAAAAAGCAGAAATTTATCCTTTTATTTAAATCAAGGCTTCTGATCTTCACGCATTTTTAGCAGAGACGAGGTATAAAATTGTCAAGATGAAAATTTTCAGTTCGTGAAAACACGCGGAATTTTTATGATTTCCTGTACAGGGACTGTGTGCGAAATTTTAAGTGACTCTTTGTTGATAGATCGCAATTAGAGGGGGTATAGGCTTACGGGGAAAAATAATCGCTTTTGATCGCTAATAGTCTTACCTCTATCTCTTGCGTCTATAAGGAGAAAATTGTTAAAAAACGACTTTTACTGAAGAAAGTAACGTCTGCATACAAATTCAGAAAGTTGCAATTTGTATCGTAAAATAATTAATTTAATTTCAAACAAATCATTCAGATATTATAACCTAAAGTCATCAAATATTTTTATGACGCATTCGTATTTAGGTAATATTTCATAATATTTTTTTTATATACAGTCCACTTTAAACGACTTTTTTCCGCTAGGTGTCTCTGCCACGTGTAATCATTCAAAGCATCGAGAGCAGAGACATCTGGCGGCCATCTGGCGTTTTATGTGCATGTATACAAAACAGATAAAAAATATTAACTGTATACAAATGCCTCGAAAAATAATAAATGACTTTAGGTTGTAATATCCGAATGATTTGTTAGAAATTAAATTGATCTTTTTACGATCAGAGTCGTATAATCCAACTTTCTGAATTTGTATGGGCGTTACGTTCTTCAGTATTAAGTCGTGTTTGACAATTTTCTCCTTATAAACGCAAAAGATAGAAGTAAAATTTGTAGCGATCAAAATTACACTTATAGTTCATTTAATTATGAAAATTTGCCAATGATGTTGTAGTTGTAGTTGTAGTCGTCGTGTATATCAATACAATGAAGACGACATTTAATTCAATTCTAATTTCTGCCAAACTTTCAAACAGCGTGAATACACGTCTATCTATAAAAGTTAAAGTTGTAATCTTTGTTTATCTGTATAAGTGTTTTTTTTTGTCAGATCATAACTCATGATCCCCTAGACCAATTTGCCTCAAATTTTGATTGGGAAACTCGCGAAACCCACGGGAATGTTCTTAGCTTGATTTTGTTGAGAAGGTATTTCGAAAATTTAGTTTTTGGTAAAATCGACCAATTGCGGATAAACAGCGGGAGTATCTATGAGTAACCTGGGCAACGGTGGGTTCCCAAGCTAGTATGACATAAACATGGAAACAAGCTTCTCTTTCTTTACTTGTAAACTTGTAATTTGAATAAGCTTGTTAAAAATTGAAACCTAAATAAACAATCGTCTCCATTGTATTGATATAAACGCAGACTACTGTATTTAAATTACAAAAAGTAAAGAAAATACTATATTTTATAACAGTTTTTCTGGTTCTAACCGTAAGCCAGGAAAGACACTTGTTTGTTTGTTATTTCTTTACAAATCCCTAAACCCAGCCTTCAAAGATTGTTTTAGTGTGTGGGTTGGGCACGTGTGACGATGGTACTTTTTCTCAATATATTCGTTAATGATTTGTTTAAAGGTTAATGATTTGTTTAAAGGTTAATGCTTTGTTAAAAGGTTAATGATTTGTTTAAATGTTAATGCTTTGTTAAAAGGTTAATGATTTGTCTACAGCCTACAGGTTAATGATTTGTTTAAAGCTTAATGATTTAATTAGAGGTTAATAATTTTTTTAAACGTTAATGATTTGTTTAAAGGTTAATGATTTGTTTAAAGGTTAATATTTGTTTACAGGTTAATGATTTGTTTACAGGGTAATGATTTATTTACAGGTTAATGATTTGTTTAAAGGTTTATGATTTATTAAAAGTTAATGATTTGGTTAAAGGTTAATGATTTATTTAAAGGTTAATATTTGTTTAAAGGTTATTGATTTATTAAAAGGTTAATGATTTATTTAAAGGTTAATGATTTATTTAATGGTTAATGATTTATTTAAAGGTTAATGATTTGTTTAAAGGTTAATGATTTATTTAAAGGTTAATGATTTATTTAAAGGTTAATGATTTGTTTAAAGGTTAATGATTTACCTAATTAACATGACGGATAGACTTATCAAGATCAATTGCTTTTAACCAACAAAATACTGATTACGTTCAATTTTCGTTTAATGAAAATCATTTTTTTTCATTTCGCACCAAGAAGAATGTCGGATTTCTGACGTGGTGTCTATAATGAGCACTCATCTCCCCCCCCCCAGGCAAAATGAGCCATTTAAGCCTACGCTATGTGTTCCCCCCATATTCATTGGAGCTCAGATCTTCCAGAAAATAGATATTTTAAGATAATAGACTATAATAATAATAAAAACATTTTTTAATTTGATCATCCTTTAACTAAATAATATTTCAAATCATAAAAAAAAACAATTTGTTTTACTCCCTTTTTGTCTGATCCTAATTGTGGGGCCTCTTTAATTTTTGTCGCTCTTAGATCAAAGAGAGCAAAGGGAGGACTCAAGGGAGAACAGGAATGAGAGAGAACGAAGATTAAACCATATTTTGCTCGCTCAGTTTCCTTCAAAAGGTCCGACCGTCCAGGCAAGAGCAGCACCATCCAAAAAAGGAAATTTTAACAGTATTTTAAAAATATTTATAATCTAAATCAAATCTCATGGCCATCTCCATATTTTTTTTTGTTTGTAAATTAATTCTTTCGTAGATTTTTTTTTACGATTTTGTTTGTTAGAAAAATGGACAGCATGACTCCTCTTCAGTCACCTACAGTTGAACCAGCCAATAAAGTAAGAATAATTGTCAATTTATAAAGTATTGTTTTTATTTGCCTCAAAGTTTATATCGAGCCTAATAAGGTATCTATTGTAATGTATGCACTTAGAGTTGGGGCAAACTCCCGCTCACGAGTTAATGTATGAATTTAGGAACGAAAAATATAGATATCTAAGAATTCTTCCACACATTACATTACATTTGGCCCAGAAAAGACTTATGCACATATCAAGAAATTTAAAAACAAAAATATAAAATGTTCGAGTTTAAAAAAGATTTGGAAACCGCCAGGTAACCAGGAAAAAGTTTCTATATCTTTTAGTTTTTTATGTATCTTGTAGAAGACATAGTTTCATGCAAAACCGAAAGAAAGCTAAAATGATCAAAAAAGGACATGCTGATACTTTATTTTATTTAAATATATTTGTTGAGTGCCCCCTTCGCCTAGAAAACTTTTTTGTAAAGTTTACAATTGAGAAAATTTGGGAACCAATTAAACTTTACAGCACCGTCCTATAACATACAGCTAGTTTAACATTATATTCTTATAGAACGATAGTTACTTAATAACACGTCAATAATGAAATTTACTATAAAGTGATCATGAGTGATAAAGTAAATAATAGTTTCATAACGTTTTTTTTTGTAGACGTTGGGTCTGTCCAAACTATTCTTTACCTACACGAAACAGTTAATGGGGTGAGCCATTTAGTGAATGTTAATTAAATTATAATGATGATGATGATGATGATGATGATGATGATAATGATGATGATGATGATGATGATGATGATGATGATGATGATGATGAAGGGGGAGGTTTTAAAAAGCTGTTGAGTGTTTTTATAGCATTAATATTTAAAACTAGAATTAACTGATTAGTTTTTGTTTTCCAGATTGGACTTGCCTACACATTACGTACTTGTCACAATATACAGCCTCCTCATCATCTTCGGTCTCCTCGGTAACTTTGCTATCATCGCGGCCTTCCTCACAAACAAGGTTGGTTTTAGGATTCGCAAGTTTTGTTTTCGAAATTTCAATAATTATATCAAAAAAATGTTTTAAAGTTCTAATACTATCAGACAATTTCCAGAAAAAAGTGAAAACGAATTTCTTGTTTGGAGCTAATCAAAAAAGACCAAGGAAAATTTATGAAACTAGCCTTAGAGGGGGCTTCGCGCCCATCTTCTAAATAAATTGTGAACATGTTCTCTTTGTGTACATCGTAAAACAAAACAAAAATAATTCACGGATTTTCACAAAAAATTTCGTGGATTTTCAAAATTTAAAAAAATTTAATGAAGATCGAATTTTGATGGAGACAAATATTTAAAATTTCAATCATTCACAAACCTTCCCTGGGGTCCCTAGATGTCCCACAAAAAATTTGGGCCCGATCGGTTCAGCCGTTTTGACGTTTATTGGATACAAACAGACAGACAGACAGACAGACAAACAGACAGACAAGCCAAATTATATATAGATTAATTGTGAAAAAATATTATTTTACCCCGACTCACTTTTAATTACAACTTAAATCCCTCTCTAAAAACGAAGGGACTGTCGACGTATTTTAAAGTGACCCTCTGTACGAAAATGTGTCTAAAAAATTAATTAATGAAAGTTACAATATCTTTATATTGTTAGTTGTATACTCGATATAATAATTATAATAATAATTATATAATAATTCTCTTCGCTCATCTATAAAGTAAAGGTCTTTGTTCATATATATATAAATTTGTATATATGTTAGCTTTAGCTGGCCAATTGGCTGATTTAAGTACACCGGGTTAACATAGGTTAAATTTTCTTTTGAAAGGAATTGAGTCTTTGCCACAAACTCTGATTTTCTAATCCCAATATCCTTGGAACCCAATGTCGTAAACCTTTGATATTTCAAGCTTATATTATTTGATCTAACAAAAGTCATAGTTTGAAATGTCAAAGGTTTACGACATTGGGTTCCAAAGATATTGGGATTAGAAAATCAGAGTTTGTGGCAAAGACTCAATTACTTTGATTTTTTTTCTCAGAAATAAAGTTTTTTTTCGAAATTCGAAATTCACTTGAGCTAGTGTAAACTACTATAATACATGAAGAATGAAAACTATTCAGGTGATGCTGACCTCAAGGAACATCTTCGTGGCGAACCTTGCTCTCTCGGACATATTACTCTGCTCCTTCACCATGCCACTCACCCTCATCGACCTTGTCAGCAAACACTGGCCTATGGGGCCGGGACAGGTAATACAAGGTTAATTTCAATTCGAGCTGGACCGACCATTTATACTGGCCATAGTGACGCGCGGCGAGTACCGCTCCGCCCTTAATCAGCCTAGTTTCAAAGGAATTGAGTCTTTTCCACAATTTCTGATTTTCTAATTCCTCCATTCTCTGAAACCCAATGTCGCACACCTTAGATATTTCAAACTATGAATTCTGTTATTTCAAATAGTTTAAGTTTGAAATATCAAAGGTTTACAACATGAGGTTGCAAAAAGTAAAGACATTAGAAAATCAGAGTTTGTGGCAAAAACTCAATTACTTTGATGGCGCGGCCAGACTTTTTAAATATCATAGGCCTATTTTACCTACCCCACTAGCATCTTAGTTTAGTGTGCAATGTGACTATTAACACCACTTGATCATTCCAAAATTCTGGTAAAATGCAGAGGTTACCTACATTGGTCGGCGTTTATATCAATAAAATGAAGATGAATTTTCTTTGTAGGTTTGATTTTTCTCAAATTTTTTTAATTTCAAGTTTACAAGTTTACTAATTTAGTTTTTATTTACAGATTCTCTTTGTTTCCATTGCTATATATATATTCAGCTGTTTAAAAGATTTATGTAATTAAATCTTCATAATTTTAATACTCTTCCCTCTTGAGAGAAATTTTCCTTTTAAATTTGTAATTGCTTTTATATATTATATCTTTAGAGTTTTTAAATAATATAATTGTTATCATCATATTTATAGCAAAATTAGTCAATTCTTACTTTAATATGAAATTTTGTACTGTTAGTCTTAAATTTTGGAAGATTACCACACAAAAATATATAAAAGTAAAGTGCCCGGCGTTTGCCGTGAAAAAAGAAACCAATTTTGAAAAAAAAATTTTGAAGAAAAAAATTGGAATTTTTTCAAAGAAAAATGTATTTTTGAAAAAAAATTTCAGCCAATTTGGTCGAGTCTTTTGGCTAGCTATTGCTAACATATAAATACATACATATCTTCTTAGAATAAGTCTAGAAAATGTTCTATTGTTTATAAAGATTGGTTATTGCTGGACACTGTTTTTCATATTGGACATTCTTCAGCAGCATGAATGCGGATAAAAAATACAATATACATACATCTATACATACAAATATGTATAGATACATGAGCGAAGATGTCGTAGATCTTTGTCTATTTTGATCTTGCATCCTGTAAATTTAGGAAGTGTTATGTAAGATGATGGGCACCAGTCAGTCCACATGCATTTTCTTTTCTGCCTTCTCCATCGTTCTCATTGCAGTTGATAGGTAAACTTAAAATTCTCTTCCAAATATCGATAAGTATTTCCGAACGCTTTGTTAGAGATATTTCATACAAATGATTGCTTGATGTAACTCATGGCGTTGAAATAATTATATCAGATTTTTTTTATAAATATCTACATAAAAATGTACTCAAAACCAAAAATATATTTTTTGTTCCTTTTTAACATTATAGAATTTCTAAAGTTTTAAAACATGATCAACAATTAGAGAAACTTAGTTATATTTCTTATATTATTATGATTTTAATTTTTGTATTTGCATTAATGTAATAAATGCAAACCTAATTAGGAGCATACAATTTTGAAATGCGAGAATTATCTCAAAACTTTGCGGAACCTCTCTGTAAAAAGAGAACATAAAATATTTGAAAACTTCAACAAAGTCTAGCTCACAAATTGATATAATTATGTCTCTTTTATTATGTTATAATCAGATATTTATCATAATCAGGTATCAGTTTATTGTCAACTCAACCGAGGTCCAAATATCCATTCTTCAGGTATTTTTTTTTCAATGGTAATCCAAAAAAACTCATAAAAATTGTCGTGTACTTAATACTTATATTTATGCAGCAAGCTCAGTTCATGCACATTGTTGATTGTATTATTTCTTTTTGACATTGCTATATAGATAAAAGATATATATAAAATTCATAAAAATAGTTTGCTGAATCAGCTGCAACTTAAAGCAATGTACTCATAATTTTATATTATTATCGGATTTCTTTAGATAAGGAATTGAGTCTTTGCCACAACTCATATGTTCTAATCGTAATATCTTTGCAACCCGTTTGTTGTAAAATTTTGAAATTTCAAACTTTGACTATTTAATCTAACATAATTTACAGTTTGAAATATCTAAGGTCTACTACATTGGGTTCCAAAGATAGAGGGATTAGAGTTTGTGGCAAAGACTCAATTCTTTTAAGGAATTTTTATTGATTTGCCTTTGTTTAAACATTCTAAATAAAAAGAAATTTCTACAGCTCAGCGCAACAAATAATAGTATTATAATAGTATAATAATAGTAAATGATTAATATTTAACTTTAACACTTTACCAATGTACCCTTTATACTTTTATCTTTATCTTTTATACTTTAGAATGGTGAATATCAGGATTAATTCTTAATCCTCTCTTTTTGCTAATCTCAGGACTGACATAATCTCGAGATTATGTTAATCTCGAGACTAAATATTTAGATCAACAAATTTGATTGTAGGAAATTTAATAAAACATTAAATGCCAGGGCCAGATTTTTTCGTTTTCTTGACCTTTCCTTTACTGTCCCTTTAAGGACTAAAATTAAAAGTTTCCACAGTAGATATTCGGAATAAGCATTCTAAAGTTCCCAGCTGAGATCTGACATAAGATATTTTATCGGTTTTCTATACTTAAAACGTGTTTGATTCTAGAAAATTCACTCAGATATTCTTTACCATTACTCTATGAATTCCCAAAAAAGAAAAACCAAAATTTAAAATAGTGAATTATCAAAGAGAAAAAAATGATAATTTTTATCAATTATAGATTTTAATGGCACTAATGTTGTAAATGGACATGTTCACTCTTTAATTAAATGAAGGGTTACTTTAAATTATGTTTGTTTCAGGCTGGTTTCCTCTCGTTATTTTCTTTCCTGCTCTCCGTCATACTCTCACTTCCGGTATTCTTCTTCACCAAACTAGAAGTCAAACTGAACTTTGTGTCCAAGGAGTAAGTATAAACTTTTTTGATAAAATTTGAAATTTTAGACAAATTAAAATAATTTTTTATGGAAATATTTAACTTATTTATTTTTTAAACTACAGCTAGGGTGTCCATACTGTCCAATAAACATATGAGGCCATTTCCATCATAATCACCTCATCCTGGGATTTACCTAATGTGGTCTAAATATTTAGAATATTCAAAATTCATATATGTAGATTATATTTATAAAAACCATTTTTTGATTAATTTTGTGAATAAAACTGATTAAATTTCTTTGTTGGTGCCAGCCTTCAGTTATAAAGCTTTAATTTAGTTAGTTCGGTTTCAATTGGTTAAAGCTCGCATCTTCTATCAATATCGACATTATTATATATATATTTGTGTTTTCATAGAATGGAGACGATTTTACCCGATACACAGTATGATGGTCTTGTATTGTAGGGAGTTATCCTACTGCTATGAGGACTGGAGCAGCACTACTGTCAGATTATCCTACACTGTCACCTGCTTCACCTGCCAGTACCTCATACCCTCCATCATAGTCGGGTTCGCATACTACAGGTATACATTCATCATATAGTCAGTTGATTGATTGATTGAAAGATTGATACCTCATTTCCGAAGATCTTCTTGAACCGGGCGTAATTTTAATGCACTTTTCAACTCCCAAAACGAAATAAACGAAATCGCTTATTTGGAAGCAACAATTGGATGGTTTCAAATATGCGACAACAAATCGCTTATTTGTGCAGACATCCAACTTGTTGCTGCCAAATAATTTAAGCTTGTAGCGATAAAATTTCGAACTCCATTTTGATTAGACAATTTAGAAAATTTTACAGATTTAAAATCTGTTCAGAGCTGGGAACTTTTGAATGGTGGATATCGGGATTAATGCGTAATTCACTCTTTTTCTTAATCTCCAGATTAAATAATGCTTGTTCTCCTCTTGTTATTAATCTCCAGATTAATTAACCGATCGGGATTAAGGATATCCCATTCTTAAGTTTTCAGCTCTGAGGATTTAAATTCATTTCTTTAAAGGATTTTCAAGATGCTTCAGCTGTCAGGCTTCACACAAGCACAACAAAATCTAGAACATTCTGTCTCCCACACTCACAGGTTTATATTAATAATTAGAAAAATTACCAAACGATTGTAGGCGCAATTTTAAAGTGACCCTAGCTCCATTTTCAGAGGTGAATTTCCGATTCAGACCGCTGTGCTCTTTAACTCCAATTGAAATCAATATATTTTTAGCTGGAAAAATAAGGATATCTCATTCATTCTTTAAAGGGGTCAGTTGTGCAACTTTTTAAATAAAATTACACTTGAAATTACTTCTTCATCATTTGGCAACAGATTCTCATTTTTTAATCCCTATTTATCTTCCACTCCTTGTCGTAGACCTTCGACATTTCAATGAAAATAGTCAGATCAAAATTCTTGATTTACAATTTCAAAGGTTTACACAATCAGGTTACAAAAAAAATAGGGATGAGAAAATTTTAATGTTGTGTAAAAAACTGAATTCCTCTGTTACTTTAAGTAAGATTTGGTTACTAAAATATGATGAAAAGGGGAAGCAAAAGTATGAAGTCTTTATACAAATATTTGTATACATTTTTTACACCTTTTTTTAGAAGTTCAGAGAACAGTTTTTTTAACTTGTACGTCAAAAATATTGTTTTTAAGCATTAAATAGATTTAGGCAAAGTTTTTTCAATTTGTGAAGTTTCCTTTGAAGAGGATTCACAAATATCTCTAGTATAAAAAAACTATAAAATGTAAACTGTAAAACATGAACTGCAATATTTGTATAGACGGGCTCGACAGCAGGCTAGGCGGAAACGAATCAACATCCTCCTTCTCCTGGTCACCTTGGTTTTCTTCATTTGCTGGACTCCACTCAACATCTTCAACATTATACTTAACTTCCTCCCAGCACAGAAGGTACCCCATCAACCAAATGACATAATTTTACCAAAACTAAGTAAAATTACATAACATAAATGATTCTATTGTCCAGAGTTAGAAATTTATTATCAACAATGTCTAGTTTAACAAGATCAGTTTAAACCATGATTGAAAAAATAATTAAACTAGCCATACCTAGTTAAACTACTTCTCTTTTTTTCATTAATTCATGGAAAATATAAAGGTATTTGATTCATTTTGTGTTTAGACGTTGACCCATGAGTATGCCCTTGTGATTATATTCTCTGGGGTTCACCTGACTGCTATGGCAACTGTTTGCGCTAATCCAATCCTTTACGGATTCCTCAACGAGAACTTTAAACAGGTTTCATCTTTAATAACAATATTAAAAACAGGTTTCATCTTTAATAACAATATTAAAAACAGGTTTCATCTTTAATAACAATATTAAAAACAGGTTTGATTTTTAATAACAATATTAAAAACAGGTTTCTTCTGTAGTAACAATATTAAAAACAAATTTTATCATTAATAAAAGCGGTCGTTTCTTAGATTGTTTTTTTTGTTCGTTTTTAAAAATGATTAACAAACCTACTTACATGTTGCATGAGAAGAAAGTAGTTCTTACTTTTTATTCTTGTTATATTTGTAGAGTCTTCTTGATATCTTCTCCAAGATCCCTTTCTCAAGACAACTTGTCATCTTCAGTCAATATTTTCAGGTAAAATAACTGCTATTAATACTATACCAAGAATGAGCCCGTTTCAACTTTTTATCTTATTTTTAAAAACTTCATTTCATTCCATTTTAAGGGTACCATTGTGAATCGAGCATTGCCATCTTGAAAGTACAGTGACAGTCCCTTTAACTTTGGTATATTCAGGGTTGCAGAATTCTCCGTAGACAGCAAGAAACAAGATCAAATGAACTCCGACTGCAGTAAGTGCAATTTTTTATAAGAATTTAAGAGTTCTTGACTCTTTTCCTGTATATAACAGCTTTGGTTTTTAATTTGTTATCTATCTGCAATTTTTTTTCATTCATTAAAGAAATGATACTTCATGGTTTTTCCTGTGTTTTTGTTTGTGAGTTTTCAAATTTCAAAAAAGTATTTTGAGGAACTGAATTACTTGCTTCCAACTCTAATCTTCTTACACTAAATCTTTGCAACCTAAAGATGTAGACCTTTTATAATACATACTAAATCTACTTAATCTAATGATTTGAAAATATTGAAGGTCATTGTGAACTTGCCAAGCTACATTTGTTGCATAAACGTGCTGGGTCGTCTTTACACTAGTCCAGCCTGGACAGTAAATGTCTGAATGCATATACAGTACGTGTCGTACCAACTTTGATTATGCAACTTTTAGAGTGGTGCAACAACATTAAAAGGTTGTGAAGATATAAGGAATAGAAAATTAGCATGACGTGAGTAAATGAGTTCATTCCAAATTTAATAGAATAGAATCTCGATCACAGGACAAGCCAGACGAAAGTAACTTTGTTAAATATAGCAATCACATAACGTATTAAATGCTAGTACTGCAGATCGGGGGAAAAGGTTGGACCGGTACGAATTAAGAAGAGCAGCCACGTTTCAGACTTTTCTCCTATAATTTCAAGGGATTAAAACATAAAAACTTATATTCTCTATGTTTAGGACCCTCAAAAGCCGAACTTCGACTCCTCCTGAAGCAATGAGTTTTCCACCTGAGCAGGGCGTCTAGGCTAGATATCAGGTATGCTAAGTTTTTAAGTTTGTTTTGACTTTAAATTGAAGGCCCCCCTCCCTTAAATAATTGAAATTAGAGTAAAAAAATAGTTCGAGCTTATAAAGTTCTTAACCCTGTTAATTATTAAAAAATGTTAAACCAAAGCATAATGCTGGGAATGGTAAAAATTGCAAAAAGTACATCGGAAAAATCTCCGGCTTCAATAGATAAACTATACCTTGTGTATTAAAATTGTTTTTCTTGAAACTTTTGTTTTGAAGAATGAGATGGAAAAAGTTTGGTTATTTTTTAGGATTTTATAAATTATAGCCGGGGGGGGGGGGGTCGCAACGACAACTAATAGCTATTTTTCTTATATTTTTTCCATTAAATAAACAATTCATAAACAAAATGAATTAATGGAAAATAACTAAATATATTTTAATAAACAGGGTGGTACCGAGTTCTAATATCATTGGAGGAGGAAAATAAGGAAAATCGTCTTGTCGTAAAGATGTGATATTTGTCAAAAGAAATGGAATATTTTTATTGGTAATAATAAAAAATATTTACTTTTTGTAAGAATGTATTTCCTTTTTAAAAAAATCATTAAAAAGTATGAAAAAAATGTTTTAATATATTTATATATTGACATCTTTTCATTATCTTTGTAACTTAAAAGTCACGCTGTACAATGTGCTTCAGATGTTAAAACCCCTTTATGTGAAATAATCATTCAATTATCCTAAATTAAATATTTAAACAGCAATAGATTGAATTGGTTTTATATTCTGATCGAAGCGAGTTCCATTGATTTGGAATTTCAACTTGATCAATTCCAATTTAGGAGAACTAAATCTTTAAAATTGATAAACAGGCACAGGCTTTATTTTATCTCGCAGTTTTACCAAATCATTTGAATTTTATTTTTATATGACTTCTTTATTGTACCGAGCGTCAACTTTAACTACCGATAGTAAATATTATATACCAATTGTCAACTTTATGGACTAATTGTACTAATTTATGTACCGGATAGTCAACTTTATGTAACGATAGTTAAATTTATGTACCAATCGTCCAGAGGCGCAACTAGGGGGATATATTGCCCCCCCCTAGCAAAAGTTCTAGTTGCGCCTCTGCAATCGTCTACTTTATGGACTAAATGTCAACTTTATGTACCGGATAGTCAACTTTATGTAACGATAGTCAAATTTATGTACCAATAGTCACCTTCATGTACTGGATAGTCAAATTCAAGTCGTATAGTCCACTTTGTATACCGATAGTCAACTTTATGTACCGGATAGTCAATTTTTTCTACCGATGGTCAACTTTATGTATCTACTAATTGTCAACTTTATGTAATGCGACCACTTTATGTGATGCTGCGGTAGTCAACTTTATGTACCGGATAGTCAATTTTATGTACAGATAGCCAACTTTATGTATCTACTAATTGTCAACTTTATGTAATGCTGCGGTAGTCAACTTTATGTACCGATAGTCAACTTTATGTACTGCTGACTACCGTATAATACCGGCTGAAGTACTTGTTGTGTTTATGTGAACTTCTAATTCTTCAACAAATTCGTATCATGTCGTTTATAAACTATTAAAATCTAAAATTACATTGAATGAAAAATATTCTTACTTTAAAGGATTGTATACTTAATTTCAAGTGGCTCTCCATTTTTAGAGTGGTATGTTCGATTCACAGCAGTACCCTTTAAACCTTGGACTGGTTATGAACGGTTAAACAACTTTTTCCATCTTAAATTTGTAGTTTCTTTTTCCTTCAAGATTGCTCAGACAATGCTTTAAAGTGTGCTATTGGTTATCGGGCATAACACTTGAAGGATAACTTAAAATCACGTCTACAGAAATTTGTATTCGAATAAATAAGAGACAAATGAAAACAAAATATAATCAAAAATTTTCTGTGATAAAAGAAATATTGAAGAAAAATGTACCTCCGTTCATTGTTTGTGATATAATAAAAATATTAAAAATGTAAAATAAAAATAATAATAAATAAAAGAAAAGAGATTTTGCTTAGTACTAATGTAACCAGTGTGAGCAAAATAGCTCGGAATAAGGATAGGTCAATTGATGTAACCCCCTTCAGTTCTAATACAGACCCGGAAATTAACTTAGGTTGGATAGTTCTATTGATGAAACCCCTTAAGTCCTCATATGGAACCGGAGCTAAGCTCACATTGCTGCAAGTATTTCGGCCTACAAGCATGACAGCTTATTATCTCTTTGTATATAGCTATAGGTCGGACAAAAAGTAGGATGGATAATAGGTCGACCCATGTATAGTGTATCAAGATGTTTTTATTCGTTAAAAGATACCCTCCTAGAAAACATGATTTCAATATGTGTTTCAACGCATGCAGAAAAGCAAGCCATAGTTGACCCGAGTTCTTTTTCAAATTCAAACCAATAGGCGTGAACCACGGCCTGAATCAGGAGGGCACAGGAAATAAGGTCGGTCAGGCTATAAATGCCGGAATGAGTTAGTATTCACGAAGAATCGAAAGGAGGAAGATTGCTCCGTCGTATGTGGCGGAGGAAAGGCGTAGAGTATGCCAGAGAGCTTCGGCTTTCTTCGATTCATTAGTATCAACCATTATTTGTTCTTTTCTTATAATGTAAATTCATTTTTTCCAATACTTTGTAGACTTACTAACATCAGATTTAGGCTTTATATTTCCTTTAATTTCGACCACTTTTAAATGGTAACACTGAGAATGTAATATTCAATGATACGGGGTAACCCACAATGAATATTACTTTAATGAAAACCCAAATCTTTTGATATGACGATATCTGAAGGCTGCAATTTATCTTCTGCTATATACAAAATCTTTAAATGTTAAACAGTGGCGGCCATAAGGGGGGTTATTGGGGTTATTAACCCCCCCCTAGAATCCTGGGGGTAAATACCCCCCCCCCTAGAATCCTGGGGGATACCCCCCCCTAGAATCCTGGGGTAAATACCGAATTCTAGGGGTAATTACCCCTGAACATATATTCAGGCCCTGAATAGCAGGGGTTACTCCATTTGCTGCCTCTACAAGTAACAGTTCCAGTTGCCTTGACCCCTTCCCTTCAAAAAAAAAAAAAAAATACATTCCCTATTGATTATTACCCCCCCCTACAGAATCCTTATGTCCGCCCCTGATGTTAAAATAAATGATTTTCGAAAAATCTATTTGCTTGGCCGGGAAAGGAATTAAGTCTTCGTCACAAACTCTAATTTTCTTTTCCCTGGACGTATCTTTGCAACCTAAAGGTGTAAACCTTTTGTATTTCAAGCATAGATTATTTGATTTATCAGAATTCATAGTTTGAAATATCAAAGGTCTACAACATTTGGTTTTTAAAAAAAGATTTTTTCATGTCATCCTTCTACTCTCCCCTACTTCCTGGATCCCTGAAGAAACTGAAGACGACTTCCATTTTTTAAGAGCGATGCTCCGTTTCACAACGGTACTATTTAACCTTTTATATTAGTAACAGTGAGGAAGATATTGTCGTTTTTCTATCTTAAAATCATGCATGTTACTTTATTCATATTGATTTTTATCCCTTGTGAAATCATATATTTAGTATTTACAACTAATTGAATCCCCCCCCCACCTTAGTGACCTTACCACCCACCCCTTATAGATCAAAAGTGTATTTATGATTTTAAGAATACATTTTTGCCTCAAACTCAAATTTTCTATATCCTATATTTTAGCAACTTTTTGGTGTAAACCTTTGATTTTTTTTTGTTTGATTTGATAGATTCCATATTCTGAAATATCTAAGATCTACAGGATTAAGTTGTAAGGATATAAAAATTAGAAGATCGGAGTTATTGTGTAAAGACTCAATACCTTTTTATAACGCGAGGGGTTCATAGCACTACAGAACTAAATAAATAATAAAACACCGAAAAATGAATATATTTTTATTAGTTAAAAATGCGATTTTTAAGGTAGGGGCCTGGGCTGGGCTGGGGAGGGGGGGGGGTGCAGTGATTTTTAATCTTTCAACAAAATTTTCAACGCTGCAAGTTTGTATACGATTCAATAATCTGTTAAATCTCGTATCTCCAGTCATTGCACCAAGTTTAGAGTTTAAATATTACAGTTATATCATGTATTTATTTAAATACCAGTGCTATATACATTATATAATACATATACACTACACAACACACCCCTATACTTCATTCTTTGTCTGATCTTGGCGCAGAGAGAGAGAGGAGTGCCCCAACCTGGCAATAAACTGTCCGTAGGTTCATCTAGATAAAGGGACTGAACACGGTATTTAAAGTAACTCAGGCCTCACCATAGTTTCAGTAGAAGTAAATATTTCCATTTACTGCTATAGCGCCGATATAAGGATTTATCTCTAATTGGATAATGAGCTAGATAGAAAGATAGACGTTGCCGCCATGCAATTTCTATTGGTTCAGAATAGACAACAAACACATGACTGAACCTTGATTGGATCAGGCGCTAATGAACTCGGCATACTAGAGTGGCCTTTGTCAGATTCACTATGGTACCAATTAAAAATGAGTAAGTTATATTGTAGTTGTCTAACTTGTAAAAGATAATTTTTTCAGCTTTCGTCTCCTTTCTAATTTTAATAGAAACCCACCAAAAAATTATTAATTTTCAAATAGAAAACAATGATATCTGATATCATCAATAACGATACCAACGCCGGTGGTATGAATCCATCTAACTATCAATCTATCTTTTTAAATCTAATTATCCAATAAGTGATATACAGGAATTTTTTGCTTAAGCTGAAACAGAAGGTGAAACTATTTCATCCTAAATGACAAATCCTTCTTTTTGCGTCAGAAAAAAAATAGAAGCAACGTCTATAAAAGAAAAAATTGAAAAATTTTAAACTCATTAAGAAATTAGTTTTTAATACTCTGAAAAATATTCTTGAAATATTTTTTGCTTATAACATAATAAATGTTCATGGTATTTCTACGATTTTAACGTTTCAATGTTTCAAAAAGGATATTTTGATACCCATTTACATGAAAAGCTTAAAATCTGATTTGAATTGAAAATTCTGAAGAATCAAATAAAACTTCAGAAATGGTGCAAGGTAGAATCTGTGCATTTTTATCAAAAAAGTTATCTGTTGCTGTATCTGTATTCTGTACAATGATCCAACACTGTCCAGTGATCTGTTTAATCCTACTATTTTTATACAAAATTGTATATATATGAATTTTCGTATAAATTTGACACAGTTTTATATCAATTTCTCGAGACAGGAACATCAGATATAACTTTCATGGGTCGCGATCAAGAGCTAAAGTGATTAGCTTTCAGCCTATACCCCCTTAATTTTTCCTTTACAGTCCTTTTAACAAGTATAGGTGTTGGGGGAGGTTTAACATTTTTTTCAAAATCTGCCTCCCCTCCCCTCTCGCAACCATGGGAAAGGATTAAAATTCGGTCTCAATAAATACGAGGTCTCCAAACTTCTTAACTTTAATCAAGGGAAACCATTTTTACGATTTAAAATTGTCGTTTTTTATTTCTGTGGGTTTCTGCATTGTTTCTTATGAGCATGAAATACGCTATTCACTTTGGCAAGGAAACCGCAATTAAAAATAAAATAGTTAAATTAAACAAAAACATCTTTGTCAACCATTAACATTAAGAACCTTAAATGCAAATATTTCAAAACACTTTCGTTTAAATAAATGTTAGAAATATCCATTTTAGATCTCTTTATTTTATTATAGTGACTTTTCAAGTCAACATTTTGAAATATTGAAATCTAGGCGGGTTATAAGTTGGTTGGTTGGATTTTAAAGTTTCGAATTTATTTTAATCTTCCGACGCTGTCATCTTTGCATTGAAAGTACGCTCACATTTCCTTTAAAGAAGATGAAAATCAACTTTTAATTGTGGCTTTATCTGTGATCATCTACTCTTTGTAAAGTATTAAACAAAACCATTTTCAAAATTTTACAAAAATAAAAAAACTTTAAAACACAAATTTTTAAAATTTTGATCATTCATGAATCTTCCATGGGGCCACGTAAGGTCCCACACAAAATTTGGGCCCGATCGGTTCAGCCGTTTTGATGCTTATTGGATAGAAAAAACAGACAAATTTATATATAGATATTCTATGCAACATCCAGGAGTAAATATCTATCAAATAATAAATAAAACTTAAAGATTATTACTTAAATTTTTTTTGGCCTAAAAGTCATCGGTGAAGATGATTAAGTGCGCCCTTCCAGAAGATAGTGGGAGGCTTGTGCCCACTCCCCCCCCCTCTCTATTTACAGAACCTGCATGGGGTTTCAGTTTTCACGCTCGATTTTTAATTTTTTTTTTATCTGACTTTGTTTTTGTTTCGAAAATCTTATTTTTTAAATATCGTTGAATTCATATTTTACAATTGTATTACTTCTTTATATATTTGTAATGGGATGGATATTGGATACTGGGCGGGACGGGTCTGCGCCGGGAAATATGGTTTAAAGCGCGCGACATTGGATGCGCATACACACAGTGCCAGTCAACCACTTGTTTTGGGCAGCGAGACACAACCACTGGACGGGGCCAGAAAACAAGAATTATCAAACTCTAGAAAATCCACCAACTTTAGATTATAAAAATCTGCAAATTGTGACACTCGAGAAACGAGAGTATCGTTTGCGAATGTTTGGATTTTAGTAGAGTTTGAAAGTGAAAGTTGACAATATTAAATTAACCATAAATTGCAGGTAAAATTAATTAACTTGAATACACTCTGCATGCTAAACCAGTATTTAGATTTAAAAATCTATTCAGTTATTCAAACCCAAATCAATTCAAATTTAAGAGTATGAATGCTTATGTTGAAAATTTGCTATTCAAGATAACACCAAATTTAATATTAAATACCAAAATATTTAAAAAAAAATTTAATTTGAAATTTTTTTTTTTTTTTTAATTTATGAATAGATGAACATATAATTCTTTATGTAAAAAATATTAAGTTAATAAAATGAGGGGGCCCTACAAAATAGTTGCACTTTTGGTTCAGGTAATGAGAACAATTATGCATAAATTGAGATGTATAAAGCATACAACACAACAATTGAAATCAAGGCTAAAGATAGCTCATTATAAAGAAGCGCTTCTATATAAAATATTTTTTATCTTGTACTTTAAACACCTTTTTTTACCTTTTTAACTTTAAAATTTTCCTTAAAAATCATACGTTTTATTTTTTAGAAAAGAGTATTAGTTACAGGAGTTAAGTATCCTTCCATTTAAACAACCGTATGTTTTACACCTTTATTTGATAAATTATATGGAAGATATTGTCGTTTCTCTAGCTTGGAATGTGTTAAATTCTGAGCATTTCCTACAATTGTTTCTGCTGCAGAAATGACTAAGTCACTTTTATAGATAACCCAAGATTGAAGATAAAAAATTTTTAAAAACATAAAAATGGTTAACTCATTTATTCAGACAAAGCTTTTAGAAGTATTGTTGTGATGAAACAGCTCCCCATAAAATTGAGCGTTAGTGTATATAAACTAGAAATTCAAGGCGCTTCGCGCCCTTCTTTCTAGCCTTAGAGGGCGCTTCGCGCCCATCTCCTAAATTAATTGTGAACATGTTCTCTTTGTGTACATCGTAAAACAAAACAAAAATAATTCGCGGATTTTCACAAAAAATTTCGCGGATTTTCAAAATTTTTAAAAATTTAATGACGATCGAATTTGGATAGAGACAAATATTTGAAATTTTGATGATTCATAAACCTTCCCTGGAGTCCCTAGATGTCCCACAAAAAAATTGGGCCCGATTGGTTCAGCCGTTTTGACGTTTATTGGATACAAACAAACAAACAAACAGACAAACAGACAGACAAGCCAAATTTATATATAGATTAAAACTATAAGTATAAGATCTCTTTAAACTAAACTATTTAGCACTTTGTTCTATTGAATATATACATTTCATTATGTAGACGTAATCCGCCTCGCAAAAAATTCCCACCCCCTGGAATTTTTTACAGAGAATTATTTTGTGTCAAAACTATGAGCATCTGGGGGAGGGAGTGAAGACAACCTCCCCCGCACAGCTTCCGAACCTTATTTTACCTATTTGCGCGGGAATTATCTTCCGTTTATAATTGTCAATTTCTACTTAAAACGGGACTAATTCGAATATTTTTGCATGTTAGTCCATCTAGTTCATCTAAAGTATCCTTAACGTTTTCATAATATTTTTATTCCCGAAGAGGAGTTTTTTTTTGCCCATTCTACACGTAAAAATAGTTATAGTTAAGTTTGCGTTATGCCCATTTTAAAAATAGTTAAAGGGAGTGTTCGCGAAAAATGAAAGGTGGTATAAGCTTAATGCGATAAAAAAGCGCTTTTGATCGCTTCTTATCTTACTTCTATCTGTTGCGTCTGTAAGGAGAAAATTGTTAGAAACGACTAATACCGAAGAACGTAGTATCCATACAAATTCAGAAAGATGCTACATACGACTTAGTCCGTAAAAAATCTATTTAATTTCAAACAAATCATTCAGATATTTCACCCTATGGTCATCGATTATCTTTCGCCAAATTTGTATATAGATGATTTTTCATAATATGTTTTGATTTTAATTTTAAAAATAACATTTAGCTTCCAACTTGTTTTCGAACATTCCTGGAAAATATGAAAATGTCGTCTTCATTTCCAAAAATCCTCGAAACAGGAATAAATGTTTTGATAAGTAACTCTCAGATCATAACAATTAAAACATATTATATATATAAATGTGGCGAAAGATAATCGATAACTATAGGTTGTAATATCTGAATGATTTGTTTGAAATTAAATTGATTTTTTACAGTCTAAGTTGTATGTTGCAATTTTCTCAATTTGTATGGGCGCCATGTTATTCGGTATGAGACGTCTTCAACAATTTTCTCCTTGCAGACGCAACAGATAGAAGTAAGATTAGAAGCGATCAAAAGCGCTTTTTTATCGCATTAAGCCTATACCCCCTTTCATTTTTCGCGAACACTCCCTTTAAGATTATTTAAGTTTCATATTTAGACTGTAAGCTATAATTTATAAAAATGAAGGGTTACTTAAACATTATGCCTTCAGGACCTATATACTGTTTATAACACTATTATTTTGGTTCGCAAAGTTATAAAGATTTTGAACAGAAATTTTCTCTTTTTCGAGTTAAAGTTCAAGCCTTCAAAGATTTAATTTGTCCCTAGATTTAGCGGGGGACAAAATATAATCTTAACAGGTGAGAACCTTCGAGATACAGAGAAAATTTAAGTCCAAGAACTTAGCACGTTGCACGAAAATAAAAGTGTTATAGATAATTTTATAAAACGTTTGTGTATTATTCTTATTGCATTTTTCAATGGCTATTAATCAATAGAATAAGCTTTTTAAGAAAGCAGAAATAAAAGTTTAAAGTTTCTTAAAATTTTATTTTATTTTTTTTGAAAAATGTGGCATCCCATCAAAACTTTATAGCACAATGATCACTTTATTATAGCACGTTAAGAATAAAAGTTACTATGAAGTGAGTAAGAATGATAAATTACACAATAGTTTCATCAAATATAAAAAAAATTGTTCCGAACATGGTAAAGATTGCTAAAGTTAAAACTCCATTTTCTTAGATAAATCCTTACTTTGAGCTTCTTAAACAAATCGGATTATATTTTCCGTTATTTGAATTTTTTACTAGATTTTTTCTTCAATTTTCCCGTTTTTTAAAGTAGGGTTCCAATCCGCCATTTTGTTTTCATCGTCACAGAACTTAATATGGGAAGTTTTCTTTTTTACAAAAAGTTAATTTTAAAATAAATTTATTTTGACTGTTGTCTTGCAACAGTTTTAACCATTTCCACACATTATTAGACAATTAAAGTATTGTTAAAACATTAAAAATGAGAGTCTAGGAAGAAATCAGCATTAGAGACTATTAGAGACCCCCTTTTCATTGGAGAGACCCCAGGATTTTCATTGGAGACCCCATATTTTCGTTGGAGACCCCCAGATTCTCGTTGGAAACCCCCAGATTCTCAATGGAGATCCCAGATTCTCATTGGAGACCCCAGATTATCATTGGAGACCCCAGATTCTCGTTGGAGACCCCCAGATTCTCGCTGGAGACCCCCAGATTCTCGCTGGAGACCCCCAGATTGTCGGTGAAGACCCTTAGATTTTCGTTGAAGACCCCATATTAGTTCGTAGTTTCTTCATTTAAACTAATTCGGTTTAAAAATTCTAATATCCAAGGTCACCAACAAATTATGGTTAATTAATCCTTTCATGCCTTAGATATATTCCTTTAAACGGTATTTGGCATAGAATAGAAACAAGAGGACAGGTGCAGGGAATCATAAATATTAGGAAACAGATTAAATTCCATACAGTCTCAACTTTTGTGGGTAACCCTGTATGTTCAGGTCTGGCGTAAGTATCTTTCGGGATAAATATTATTCCAAAGGTTAAATATTTTATTCTTTGAGAAATTTACTTACAATTTTATGATCTTGGGTATTTGTTCCGAGGCAAATAAGTAACATTTTATACCGGCAAAGTTGGTTTCCCTTTTTTTGGGGGGGATTTAAATAAAATCGCACATTTTTATGTAACTTGTGTTGAATAAATTTTTGTTTGGTTTCGGTTCGGTTTAAATTCAAGATTTTAACTCTTCACTACGTTCGTGAATAAAAATCTGGAATTTAAACCCTCCATCAATGTTTCACAACAGTTTGGTTGAAGATGAATGAGGTATCATTATTTTTATACCTAAATATTGATTATTTTACATTGAGGTTTCTCTCTAAAAGGGACCTGAAACTTCTAAATACCTTCGTTTTAAGGGATTGTTAACCAATTTGATAACACAGGGAAATATCACGATTTTTGAAATTTTGAACAGAACAATGCCTCTCATTGAACAAAAATAAATTCCCCAAAAGGCCATTAGTTTTGTCATGCATATGGAGGACCCTTTTTTGTTTTCAATAAACGAGAAGGCTGAGATGCTAATGTTTTTAAAATGAATAATAATGGCTATAGAATAACATTTAATAACTCCACAGTGATTCAAGGGGTTCCAAGCCAGGGTGAATAAATACTAAAGTGGATCAAACTCATAGTTGAATGACGACATTTTAAGTCTCAAGTATTTTAGAAATATATTGCGGGACCCATAAATTCCGTTTGTACTGCGTGTACACTAGTACACTACAGAGGCCGGTCCTTCTATAGTTAGTGGACGTGTAGTTCATGTACTTTGCAGGACGATAATTTGGCCGCTAGATGTCGCCCGTGAGTTATTTATGGACGGACAGAGTTTCTCACGCCATACGGTATCTGGATCATTAGCCGTGCATTAGCCGTACTGTGGCCATGATTTATTTGAGAAAAGCACTAATCAAAGTAGCTTTCTGATTTCATTTCATAAATTGATTGCAGTGTCAATTGTTTTTAAGATCCATTATGAATTTGAAATTAAATCAAAGTACAATTTCTTATGTTTGAGATAGTTTGCTGCGTTCAAATCAAATTCGTAATAAGCTTTCCCTTTTTTCCGTCGAAAGGGGTCGCATATGTATGTGTTTATGGTCGGACAATACTCGGACACTGATAACTCATGGAAGAACGCGTTTGAACAAAACACTATAATTCTCCGTACATTTCACGACCAATATAGGAGACGTCAAGTTGTCGACCAATGTAGTATATGGAAGGAACAGCCTCAGACAGCTCTAAATTAACTGGACTAGCTCCATTTGTCTTCATAAAAAGGGATTATAAATGTGATTTTGGTGACTGTTTACTAACAACAGTTTTCTTAATTAGATCTATATATTAGATGAGGAAAATAACATTTTATGTAATGAACTTTTACAATTAACTTGAGTTTTGGAGTACAAATCTTAATTTACGTGTTTGCTGTAGTTAGGGAGAAAGCCTTGAATTTATGAAGTTATTGTATGCAACCAAGTTAAGTCAATTCTGAAGTTGAATTTCAGGAGCAAAATTTGTTAGTTTGAATGAAGCTTAATATAACGGAGTTAAAAGACGTCTAACAAGTTCATAGTAATATCCGTAGATAAGAACGAAACTTTAGTTGCAAATCATATATTATGTTAAATGAGAGTTTTTTTTTCTAATCGTTAAATTTAAAGTTTTTGTAATGACGACATTAATAGTTCTGCACTATTACTAGTCTTTACATAAGAATTTAGGCAGCGAAACAATAATAAAAAAAATTACCAAACCAAATAATTTTGTATTGCCCAACTAGTCGTCTTTATTCTATCTGTTCCACTTTAGCATTTATTCACTTTGGTTCAAAGCTCTCTCGCAAAAATATCGATGAGATTTGTATGCAACTATTCATTGCAGTCTGGATAAATCTGATGAAGGTCCTAAATATTAAGAACATTACTTTTAATGGATGATATAATTCTTTTTGTACAAATTGAACACAAAGTATAAAGATAAATTCAGCGTTTATTTTTTTCTGCACCAAATCCATTTTAAAACTTTAATATAGAGATACTTCAGTGGTTAAAGGTTTGGCAAATAGGCTTTAGGCACTTCTTCCTAAGGGATCGTTTACCAGTTTTTTGGATGTCAGAACATTTCTTGACAGATTTGCCTCAAATATAATGCAGTCTATAAATAGAGTTTTAAAGGGACTGTTATAGGCATAATTTCAAGTGACATTCCAAGAAAAAAGAGGAATTCCACAACGATCCACAAGGGTAAAAAAGTCTTAAAATGACTTGCGTATTTCTGCTTGAGAAGCAATTAAGGGCATATTAATAAAACGATGATATCTTCCACATTATTCATCAGATAAAAGTTTAAAGGATATTGTTGTGAATTGAATATGTCTCTTCTCAGATGAATAGTCAATTATAATTACAATGAAAGTCTCTTTAAAGCTGTGTTTTCTTTTCTCTCCACTAACTTGTCTAGATAATAATTCTTCAGAGCTGGGAACTTTAGAATGGTGGATATCAGGATTAATGCTTGATCCTCACTTTTTGCTAATCTCGAGATTATGTTAGTCTCAAGATTAATTACTTAGATTATCAACAAATTTGATTCTAGGAACGCCAAATTTGTTCATTTTTTTGACTGAAAAGGCCTTCACTTAATTTCTCTCCTATTTATTTATCATAATCCATGTTAAAATTAGTTTTAAAAATCTCAAACATATTATCACATATTTGTCTTCACTGATTAATTTACAAAAAAGGCCGAAAACAAATTATTTGTTTGTTAGAAATTGCGGAGGTCTCTCATCATTCTTAAGGATCTACTAAATCAATTTTAAAGTTTTTAGAACATACATACACCCTTATACACCCTTGGATGAAACAAGAATGAACACGCAATGTGGGGAAAGGGGGGGGGAAGTGTGAATCGGGAGGTGGGAATGAAATTCACTCCCCCTCCCAGTTATGTATAGTTAAGTAATGTGTGCATTGCATTGGTGTTTATCTTATTTTGTAAGGTTTTTTATTTTGAAATTTCATCGTTTACACAATGATTTTTCAGTGTCAACGTAATTCTCAGGCACTCCTTCCCACAGAGTAGAGAACATCAAATAGATAAAAAAATTAGCCGAAAAAAGCGTAAAACCGACTTTTTTGTAATGTTACCGTTTACGTGTGTAATTCTCACATGTCTGTACTAACATCGTTTTCAAATTTTAATAAAAAAATAATTTTCTTTTGCTCCTAACACACAATTTAAGATAACTTTAGGAGCTTATAACAGATATGTCCACTGTCCAGGGATTGTACTGTATTTAGGACTGGACACGGTCTGGCTTTTTTTCAAGTCATTAGTTAACGATTTATTTAGATAACCGTAAAATGTTCGTAACTGAATGTTCGTTTCTTTAACGGTATTTTTTAAAGCTACCAGTTCTTTAACGGTTTTAATTTTATTAACGGCGTTAACGGAAAATATTTTTGAAATTGTTAATGAAGTCATTAACGACACTATAAAACTGGCCATATTTTAAGCCACCATAAATCACAGTTTGTTAGTATTGCATCGAAAATTTAAAACCTGTTTCATTAAAAAATAAATTAAATTAAAATATTTTAATTGAAAAATTGACAAATTTTAGTATTCTACGATATTGATTTTTTTAATTTCGTAATTTTAAACATGGAAATCTTTATTTTATTTTTAAAGGGAGTGTGGGGGATAGGGTTTGTGTACACGAACCGTATCTTCATTTTACATTTATGTTTTTAGGTAAAGGACCTAGATGGGGAAAATGAGGTTTATCCTCTGGGGGATTCTCCTCTCTATCCTATCATCCTCATTCATACTCTTAACCTCAGCACAATCACAAGATGATTTAGAAAATAAACGGATACAATGTGGCATCAGGTAGGTTCATGGATAGTCAAGGGAAATGTCAAGGTCAAGGTCAAGTTAAAGGTTAATGTCAATGTTAATGTTAATGCTAGGAGCAAGGTCAAATTTCAGGTTATGGTCATGGTCAATGTAAATGTAAAATTCCTGGTCCAGGTCCAGGTCCAGGTCAAGATTAAGGTCAAGGTCAAGATCAAGGTCAAGGTCAAGGACAAGATCAAAATCAAGATCAAGATCTAAGTCAAGATCAAGATCAAGATCTAAATTAAGATCAAGATCTAAATCAAGATCAAGATCAAGATCAAGATCAATCTAAATTAAGATCAAGATCAAGATCAAGATCTAAATCAAGATCAAGATCAAGATCAAGATCAAGATCAGATCTAAATCAAGATCAAGATCTAAATCAAGATCAAGATCAAGATCAAGGTCAAGGTCAAGGTCAAGGTCAAGGTCAAAGTAAAGGTCAATGTTAAGTGCATGGTCAGTTTCAAGATTAAAGTCCGGGTCAAGGTCAAGGCTATTGTCAAGGTCAAATGCAAGAGTAGGGTAAGGTTAGGTTCAGGTAACTATAACCTGTAATTTCAAGTTCTAAGGTAAGTTTAAAATTAAGGTCAAGATCAGATTAGAGTTGAAGAATTACCATGCCATAAATTTGTATGTAGGTTTGCTGAGTTTAGTTCTAATAGTTCTGGTATAGAGGGAGGCAGGGAGGTAGAACCAGCACAGCTTTCCGCTCCTACTCAGGTACAGTACAGTACAGTACAGTGTAATACAGTACAGTGCAATACATTACAGTACAGTATAGTACAGTACAGTACAGTACAGTACAATACAGTACTGTACAGTGCAGTACAATTTAGTACAGTACAGTGCAATACAGCCCAGTAAAGTACAGTACAGTACAGTACAGTACTACAGTACAGTACTACAGTACAGTACTACAGTACAGTACTACAGTACAGTACTACAGTACAGTACTACAGTACAGTACTACAGTAAAGTACAGTACAGTACAGTACTGTACTGTACTGTACTGTACTGTACTGTACTTTACAGTACAGTACAAGTAAGTACAGAACAGTACAATAAAGATTACAGACATAGATTTCAGATACCTTGAGATACAGATAGAGAGATACAGAAACAGATATACAAATACAGGGATACAGATACAGAGAAACAGTTACAGAGATACAGACACAGAGATAGATACAGAGATACAGAAACAGTGATGCAAATACAGAGATACAGATACAAATATACAGATTCAGATATAGATACAGATATAGAGGTACATATACATATACAGATACAGATACAGACACAGATACACAAAAAGATATATTACAGATACAAATACATAGCTATAGATAACTACTACTTTTTTACTCTACAGAGGTTTGGTTTATCACCATCACCGAATTTTAAAAATACAAATACATAGTTATAGATACAAATACATAGTTATATATACAAATACATAGTTATAGATACAAATACACAGTTATAGATACAACTACATTGCTATCGATACAAATACATAGTTATAGATACAAATACATAGCTATAGATACAAATACATAGCTATAGATACAAATACATAGTTATAGATACAAATACATAGCTATAGATACAATGATCTAGGCGTTCCCCTGGTTAGTGAAGGTGGTGGTTATCTCCCCTATACTGGAAGTGGTGTGTGCTGGAGTTATTCTTTCACCAACTCTAGTCCTTGCTCCAGCACACTGCCTTAGAGGTAAGTCGCATACACCGTGTTGTACACTGAGACCATGTCGTACACTGAGCCCACGCCGTACGCAGAAACCATGCCGTACACAGAAACCATGTCGTACACTGAGACCTTGTTGTACACTGAGACCATATCGTACACAGAAACCATGTCGTACACTGAGCCCGATTATGTTGGACAAAACTGAATAAAATAATATTTCATAACAAAAATATTGATATTCACAAAACTGCCTAACCCCATTCGTGAAATCCGGGTTTTAAAACTGGTTTTCCGAAAGACACCCTGTCTTAAGTTTTAGGCTCTGAGATTGTGCTGTAAACAGAAACAGTGTCGCACTCTCAAACCGTACGGTACATAGAAACCATGTCACACATTGACCTTGTCGTACTTTGAGACCATGCTGTACACAGAAAGAAACAGAAATTGATAGAATCGCACACATATTTAATTGTACAATATCTCCTAAGCATAGACTTAATGCTACTGAAAATCCACTCTCATGAATATCACTAGCTACCTAATTTATTTGAGAAGGGAGCATGGTTAACAGCTAGAGGGGGCCCTGAATTTTATGCCCAGAAAAAGTATCTAAATTTACATGTTTATTTGTGCCCGAAAAAAAACTACAATTTCATTCCGTTTTCTTTAAAGTTACTGGGAAGTTCTCCGTTGTTTTCCCTTTTTCGCGACTTCTTGATGAGTTAACTTTAAACAGTTACTCCCTTATTCATTCTTAGAATCTTCAGCCTTCTCCATAGATAAAGATAGATTGCGCATAAGACGACATTTTTCATCTTGAAAGATATAAATGTACAGAGATGTTTTAAACATATTCCTATAATATAGATTAACTAGGTCGGTTGTGAACATTGTTGTTCAAATATGCCTAAATACTATGTAAATATACGGAAATACAATGTAAATATACGGAAATACCATGTAAATATACGGAAATACCATGTAAATATGCGGAAATACAATGTAAATATACGGAAATGTCATGTAAATATGCGGAAATACAGTGTAAATATACGGAAATACCATGTAAATATGCGGAAATACCATGAAAATTTACGGAAATACCATGTATATAGGCGGAAATACATTGTAAATATACGGAAATATCATGTAAATATGCGGTAATACAATGTAAATATACGGAAATACAATGTAAATATGCGGAAATACCATGACAATTTACGGAAATACCATGGAAATATACGGAAATCCAATGTAAATATGCGGAAATACAATGTAAATATACGGAAATACCATGTAAATATGCGGAAATACCATGAAAATTTACGGAAATATCATGTATATAGGCGGAAATACCATGTAAATATACGGAAATATCATATAAATATGCGGAAATACCATGTAAATATACGGAAATACCATGTAAATTTACGGAAATACCATGTAAATATACGAAACTAGCATGTAAATATGCGAAAAACCATGTAAATATACGGAAATACCATGTGAATATGCAGAAATGCACCTTAATTTAATTTTCCTGCCTTTAAAATAATCCCACAAAGTGACATTTTCACTATTGAACTCACCTTATTTTTCATCTAGAGTTTGTTAATTCTTTTTGAAATACACGGCTTTTAGCGCGTGTCGCGCCTATCTTCTATTTCAATTGAACATTTTCTCTTTGAATTCAAATAAAAACAAACAAAAAATTTAAAAAAAAAAGAATTTCGTAGATTTTAAAAATTTAATGAAAATCGGAGTTTGTTGGAAGCTAATTTTTGAAATTTTGATCATCCATAAACCTTCCCTGGGGACATGTGAGGTCCCACACAAAATGTGGGTCCGATAGGTTCAGCCGTTTTGACGTTCACAGACACCCGGACACACAAGCAAAGTATATTAATAGATTTTAAATCAATATATCAATAAAAATCTAGGAAAAAATGCGTTCGGATTTTAAAAATTCGTTCGTTCATTGTCGTAAAAGTAACGTAAACATTTTCATCCACAAAAACTTAAATGGTTGAAAAGGGTTCTAAAGTATTGGTTGAATGCCTTTTATTTCCCCCCCCCCCCCCCGGATGAGTTTACTGAAAATGTTCTCTCAATAAACTGGTTTAAAGATCTCAAGTTCTCAACAACCATGGTTCAATGGTTCACAACAAAACAAAGACAAAAACCAGAGAATTATTTTGAAAAAATTCTCACAGTTATTAAACTTGTCTGGATTACGTCGCAGGGTTAGGGCTGGGCAACGCTCAGTTAACGGATGGACAGTTTTTTAAAATTAACGGAAAATTCCATGAATGAACGACAAATCCTTTAATTTTGAAATACCGTTCATGAAGAAGAAAAAAAACGAAAAATAAAAAAGAACTAAGGAATGATAACACTGCATGAAACGTTAAAAGGCACAAAACATTCAGTTCTTAGCTAGGAATACACGGATACCTTAAAAGTTGGTATTTTGTACGTCGTAATCAAACAGTTTGAAAAAAGTGTGAATGTGCCCATCTCTACTCGAGCAGTCGTAGTGAACATGGGATTTGTCTAAATAAAGTCTTATATTATCGAGGCACGGGTAATATTAAATTGTTTTCTGTTAAATATTTGGAACATGTCGTTTTCTTTACAAACACATTTTGACAAATTTTTTCATGATCCTTGATTAAAACTATAATTTAAATAGTTTTAAAAAATTGATTTTTTAATGATTTTTTATATAAGTTTTATTGAATGCTTAATTAGGTCATTCCTTTATACAACTAAAAACATTTTTTCAAACTTTTACTCACTTAACCATTGGCCAAGTCAATTTATTTATAAAACGTAAGTTTTCTTGTGGGGGGGGGGGTTCCCTGGTTTACCCTTAATGTCAACATTGTGATACTAAACCTTAGTAAAAAAAGACATTCAACTAGCTCTCCTAAGGACTCATGCAGTAGCTGTAAAAAAGCCTAGCTTTAAGCCGCCTGAAATGAGTGGCTTGTGTTTCAGTCTCTCAGTTCAATACTTTGTTATGACAGAGAATAAAATAATAATGGAAATTATAATGATAATAATTGTTATGATTAAAAAGTAATAAAAGTCAAATTTATAATAATGAAAATAAAAATAAAGATAATACTGATAATAATAAAAACAAGCTAAAGAGCGCGGCGTTGCCCGTGGAAAAAATCGAATTTTTTGCCCTTTAGCACTCCTAGGCTACCCATAAGTGTTCACAATAAAATTCAGCCTTTTTGGTACAGCCGTTTGGCCAGCCAGAGGAAACATATATGTAAATGTCTTGTTTTTTTATATATATAGATAATAATAATTTAGGTATTCCTACTGAGACACTAAGGATTTTGGTTGGACAAGACAGGGAAAATTCCTCTTCAATACATGATGTTGCATACCATGTAAGTATTATTAGAAATATTCTTTTTTTTTCAGAAAGAAGATGGGGAACATTTTTAAACATTTATTTTCCTTACGTACATGGTTAATTACACTAGTTGCAACTTTTTGAACCCGGGAAAAGATATCTGAAAAAATGCAAAAATGCAAAAATGAACCTAAACAATCGCTGCCTATCACTCAATTATTGCAGATACTATTAAAATTAGGAAAAGTACATTAATTAAATCAACCAAACTTATGAAAAAAATAGGCATATATTAGCTGTTTTCAGTAAAAAATTACTGGACAAACAAGTAAACAAGTTTCAAACTGCCCCCCCCATGCCATGCAAAATTAAAATTTTTGGATTTTTACAAATTGAACGTTTTTTAGTTATTTTTATTTGAATATATCTATATAATAATGCTCTTCGCTTATATAGGTGTATATTTGTATGTAAGGGTGTATGTATATATGAATAATTTGTTTAATCGAAATTTTTCCGTTAGAGCGAGTGTTCGCGAAAAATGAAAGGGGGGTATACAAATTTGTATGGAATCTACATTCTTCAGCATGAGTCGTTTTTAACAATTTCCCCCTTATAGACGCAACAGATAAAAGTAAGATTAGCAGCGATCGCAACAGATAGAAGTAAGATTAGTAGCGATCAAAAGTGCTTATTTTTTCGCCGTAAGTCAATACCCCCTTTCATATTTCGCGAACACTCCCTTTTAACAAACGGAAAAATGATAAAAGAACGTAGTTTACAGAATTCAACACTTTTAAAGATCGAGGTACAAACGACAATACTTTTTTCATTGTTGATAAGATAAAGGATTAAGTGTATCGTTGTTAATCCTACACTTCACTCTTTTATCGGCGGTTCACATGAAATAAGGTGTATAGTTCCTGTTATGTGAAGAATAGTAAAATATTAAAGTTTCTCCATGCACATTGCACATTGCACACTGTACAGTATTGAGAGAAACAAAAAATGAAGAATTGAAAATGAAAACCAAGCGCATACCTAACCATTTCAAAGTACAGAGCTCCAAAGTAATTCTATTTGAGGTCAAAACTTTTGTGGAAGATAGTCCTAATCTACAATGATTCATCTCGATATCCAGTGTGGGGAATTTATTTATTAAGGGATAAATGGTTCATCCTTTAATGGAAAGTTATTCTTGTCAGGTTCCGACCTCGAGTTGTACTTAAATGAATCAATCTAATAACGATGAACAATACGGATAAATGCCTGGCAATGCTAAAGTTGTCACCTCTGATTGTGAGGAAGAAAACAAATGTATGTTGTATCGCATAAATCTACAGATGGATTAGTTTCTTTTTTAGCTGACTCGTATTTTTACAAGCTTTCATTGATCAAACACAGATTTGATTTGCTTCAAAAAGGGATTTAACTTTATCCGTTGCCTCAAAATTTCCCACCTTTAAGTGCTAATCTTATTTTATTTAAGTTAGAGAATGTGATACTGCACCCTGATTATAATTCCACTGCGGGGGATTCGGCAGATCTGGCAGTAGTCAAACTAGAACCTAGAAGAGATACAGGACCAATACAGGTGCATTTTATGGTAAACTCTATAAAACTATAGAATATGAAAACGACATCTAATCAGTTTTATTTACTAAGTGTCCCACATCATATTAGATTTGGTAATGCCTCTCAGTTGCGATTTTCGGGACTAATCAGAAAATTTAAAGATAATGAATCGATTAAAAAAGTCTATAACGTTAATATAAAGTTTTTCCAGTGTTATGTGCATATTTTGGCGCAAAAGCTTGTAGATAATCCGATATGATATGGGACTTTCTGCATAATGATAATTTTGAGAATATTGTTTGTTTAGTTTAGCAACTATTCCACGCCTGCCTGTCTTAACTTACAACCAAAACCATCAGCTTCTTGCCAGGTACTTCACTGTCTACCTGTCTACCTGTCTACCTGTCTACCTGTATTCCTGTCTACCTGTCTACCTGTCTTTCTGTCTACCTGTCTACCTGTCTAAATGTCTACCTGTCAACCTGTCTACCTGTCTACCTGTCTACCTGTCTACCTGTCTACCTGTCTTCTTGTGTACCTGTCTACATGTCTTCCTGTCTACCTGTCTACCTGTCTACCTGACTAAATGTCTACCGGTTGTCCAACTGTCTACCTGTCAACCTGTCTACTATTATATTTATCCAAGGTTGCAGGATGGGCTGTAACAACCCAGGGTCAGGAATCATTGAGGTAAAAATTTTATTGTAAATCCTAAAATAGAGTTTTTCGAACATTCCTGGTAAATATGAAAATGTCGTCTTCATTATCAAAGATCCCCGAAACAGGAATAAATGTTTTCAAAATTAAGTATCAGATCATAAAAAAAATATTATGAAATATCAACTATATACGAATGCATCGAAAAATTATCGATGATTATTGGTTGTAATATCTGAATGATTTGTTTGGGATTAAATTGATTATTTTACGATCCGAGTTGAATGTTGCAACTTTTGAATTTATATGGACGCTACGTTTTTCGGTATGAGTATTTTTTAGTCAATTTTCTCCTTATAGACGTAGCAGATAGAAGTAAGATTAGAAGCGAACAAAAGCGCTTATTTTTCGCCGTAAGCATTTATCCCCTTTAAGCACGTTATGTAAGATTTTTATAAACGGTAATCAACAATTCGGTTTTTTTTACCTGCAAGTTGTGGCTTTCGATCACAGTTTGGATTTTTTAACACATTTTTTCATACATTTGTGTCAGCGGGTGTGGGTGCAGAAAATACTATAAAATTAAGAGGGAACCGACACATCCTGCCCTGGTTAGTTCAGAGTGTCATATAATGTAGAGCATCCTGTATCCAGCTATTGACAACTTTTCGTTGACGGGGAAATTCGTTAATTTTTTATGCCACCCCAATTCCTGAATCAAAATACTGAGAACCTTCAGAGAACCTTACATTTGATGTTAATCACACGAAAGGTTCTATAAGTATATTTAATTTAAAAAAGATGCATATTTTAGTAAACATTAACGGATATCTGTATCTATTTGCATCATTTTTAGAATTTTCACAATTTGAAAAAAATTCTTATTTTTCAGCAATTTAATAAAATAGATAGAAATTTTAATATCGGAATAGTTTTTCATAATCTGATTCATCTTTTCCATCATATTCTTCGGGAAAATGCTAGAGAGAAGAAATTCAAACTGAAATAGATTTTGAAAATCTAAATTTCATTTTAAAGGGATTGCAGTGAAAATTTCAAGTAAATCTCCATTTAAAAGAAAGGTGGTATCCCTGTTTCACAACTGGTAAAAATAGAATGAGATATCTATGTTCATTTATAACTTTAAAAATAGTTATTTTCAATTGTAATGTGCATTTGATGTTGGTACATAGCAATTATTTTAATCCGCTTGAAAATCAAACTTAAGATTTCTGACGTGTGTACACTGCACAGTGCACAATTCCTATGTTTCATGTTGATTAACTATTCTAAATCATATCTTGAGTCCAACGACGTATTCCTTTATAAAAGACATCGGAAGAATTTTTAAAATGTCGTCAAAGAATTTTTTACTTGGTTTTGCGGCTGAGAATTTGAAAAAGATGAAGAATAAATTAGCACTAACTATATAAACTATATTTTAAGGTTATTTTATTTACTTTTAGAAAAATATAAATTTAGAACAATTTTCATTTCCGATAAGAAGCTGTACTTTCAGCACAGAAATTTTGATTGTGTTTTATTAAATTTAACATATATCTAGCTGTAAAGCTGCTAGCGGAAAACTTTGTCAGCTTGGGAAGTTACAAGACAGATTTAAATTCAAATTCAAGAGGACATTATATAAATTCTTCCGATGTCTTTTTATAAATGAGTTTTACTGATGAAATTTTTTTCATAGCATTTTGGATGTACAGGGTGTCCCACGAAACATGACAGTATGCAGGACGACTTGAATGTCGTCTTGATTTTTGATATAATTTGCTGCGTTTATTTGTCAACCTAATTTTAGAAGTAAATTTCTAGAGATAATAATCACAAAATTTCCCTTGTCCTGCCATTTCCAAAATGTGGTCTGCCTTTTTTGTGCTTTCAATATTGCCCGAGATATGAAGAATTTCGTTCAGATTTCGACAATTTTGCTTTTATTTAACAAAATTGAAATCTGAACCAAACTCTTTATATCTCAGGTAATATTGAAAGCACAAAAAACGCAGACCACTTTTTGGAAATGCCAGGGCTAGGAGAATTATGTGATAATTGTTTCAAGAATCATACATGTTAAAGTAGATAGAAGACTAAATGTCACAAATAAATTCAAATACCAAAGACGACTTTCAAGTCGTCTTCCTATTGTCATGTTTCGTGGGACACCCTGTATGTGCCTCATTATCCCTTGAGAGCTTATGGTTTAAATATTTAGGTCAGCAGTTGTGGGCCATGAAGTACACTTGAAGAGCACTCAGTCCTGCACCGGTGAATCTACTGGAATACTAGATTCAGGCAAACTTATATGCTCGTCAGAAAGGTATCTATCTATCTATCTATCTATCTATCTATCTATCTATCTATCTATCTATCTATCTATCTATCTATCTATCTATCTATCTATCTATCTATCTATTTAACTATCTATCTGATTATCTCAGGGAGTAAGGAATAGAAGGGAGATACAACTGACGCGGTTCGCCCTACCATATGATTTTACATGCTTGCAGACGGTACTCCATTTGTATAAGAAATATTCAGAATAGGTTATTGTATACGCAGTAAATAATCATATGGTAGGGCGAACCGCGTCAGTTATATCTCCCTTTTATTCCTTACTCCCTGGATTATCTATCAATATATCTATCTATCTGATTATCTACCAATATATCTATCTATCTATCTAGGTGTAACAGGTTTGTATCTGGTCCTGTATTTTGTGGATCAGGATCAAGCTATGAGTTGACCGGTCTTCCCGGCTCAAGTTCAAGTTGGTGTACTGCAGGGGCATATACTAGGTACCTTAGATCTGAGTCGGGGGTAAGGTGGGGAGGGTTTGTTTATATTTAACTGTGACGTATTGGGAATGTTAAGAAACTTGTTTTTGCAAACTAGCTGAGGGGCCCGGCGTTGCCCGTGAATTTATTTTTAATTTGAAAACAAAAATTAATTTTTCAAGAAGAAAACGAATTTCTATCATTTTAAGACTATGTTATCCCCGTGAACTCTTGGATTCCCTAAAAATTTTAGTCAATTTGGTTCAGTTTGGACAGCTATAGGTAACATATATACAAATATATATATGAGCGAAGAGCTTTATTATATTATATAGATAGATAAACAGTTCTAAAATAATGATTTCACAAACCCGGCTTCCCACTCCTCCACCCACAAAAATTGTTTACAATCTTTAGGTAACAGTGAACAGTGAAAAGTGAACATCCCGAATCTTATTTTATATCTGATATTGTATCCATACTTAGGGTTGTACATTTCATTAGCTGGAGGCAAAAATAGGAATGGATATTTTACCCATATAATAAAGATTTGGATAAAGAATTAATATTTTATTCATATTAAGGGTTGCACACTACAGTAGCTGGATACAGAATTGATATTGCATTCATATTAAGGGTTGCACACTACAGTAGCTGGATACAGAATTGATATTGTATTCATATTAAGGTTTGCACACTTCAGCAGCTGGATACAGAATTGATATTGTATTTCTTATTAAGGGTTGCACAATGCACACTACAGTAGCTGGATACAGAATTGATATTGTATCCATATTAAGGGTTGCACACTATAGTAGCTGGATACAGAATTGATATTGTATTCATATTTAGGGTTGCACACTACAGCAGCTGGATACAGAAAACAATGGCGTATCTAGATTCTGATTATGTATCCCTTGAAGCTGATATTGTTGAGAATGATGAAGATCAGGTAAAAACCCAACCTCGGCATAATTCTCTTGCTCCTCAATCTACATAGATACAACCACCCTAAAGTTAATTCATCCAGGCTAGACCAAGGTTGTATAAATAGGTTACCCTCGATTCGCTCCAAATGTACAGAAAATGTCGTCCCTAGGTTGATACATACCTAATATGACGTCACTGATTATAGAGGCGAGAGTGACGTCATATTAGGTATTTATCTTGGGAGACGACATTTTCCGTGTGTTGGAACTTGGATTGCATCGAGAGTAACCAACCTTAGTATACAACCTTGGGCTAGACCAAGCTAAGGAAGTCATGTACTTAGTTCAGAGTATCAGGTTTATACCGTACAACTACCTTAGACTGGCTGAGCCCGAAATTTAAAAGAGTATCGTTGAACGAAACTCCCGGGTTTCCTTTTTGGGGTCTTATTATTTGTGTAGATTTTTATTTAAGAGATTCGAAAAAATGGTAAAATATGATGAAACTAAATAAAACAATATTTCAAAACAAAAATATCGTATCCACAAAACTGGTTAAACCCATTTGTGAAACCCGGGTTACAAAACTGGTTTTCAGAACGATACCCTGTCTTAAGTTTTGGGCTCTGAGCCCAAAACTTAAGACCGGGTATCGTTACGAAAACCAGTTTTAAAACCCGGGTTTCACGAATGTGGTTTATAGGCAATATTTTTTAAGGGAACATTTTTTTTAAGTTTGTTTACATTCTCCATTTGTGTCAAATCTCTTAAATCAAAATCTTCACAAATATTAAGACCCCAAAAAGGAAACTCGGGAGTTTCGTTCAATGATACTACAGAGCCCAAAACTTAAGACAGGGTATCATTATAAAAACCAGTTTTGAAACCCGGGTTTCATTAATGGGGTTAGGCAGTTTTGTGGATATTAATATTTTTGTTATGAAATATTATTTTATTTAGTTTCTTCATATTTTCCAGTTTTTAGAACCTCTTAAATCAAAATCTACACAAATATTAAGACCCCAAAAAGGAAACTCGAGAGTTTCGTTCAACAATACTCTTTTAAATTTCGGGCTCAGGGTTTATACTTGCTTTCAATTGTTTTTAATCGCGCTCATAAAGTATTGCCCCAATGTGTCATATTCTTAAGTTCCATGTTACAATCTCTCTCTGTAATTTGGCGAGCAGTTTTTACAGTACGTCTTCAATTTAAGATTAAGCAAGTTGAGTTAATAAATATGATTTATAAATATCTTGGCCAGTCTTTGCAACAACACCTTCAAGCGGACATTTTTAATTAAATCTTAATCAGCACATTGCACGTTGTAAGTTCGCACCTACCTCTGACGTTCATCCGCAGTCCGAAGAATGTAGATAATCATCATTTTCTAATTTAAAATCTCAGAAAATATAATCTCAAAAATCGTTTATTATTACTTAAAGTGTCTCTCCATGGAAAGATGGCAATGTCTGATTCGGAACTGTTCCCGTCTGGTCAAGTATGAATAAGATGGCAAAATAATTATAATTTAAAAAAACGATTATTTTTAATTGCGGTTCCTCTAAAAAAGTGACTTAAGTGCAGCAGTAAAACATATTGGAATTATCAGAATTATTCACTTTAAACCTAGACACATTATTAATCAAATAAATGTTTTAAGGGTTATTGTTGTGAATAGGGCATTAGCATCTTTGTATGGAGGGTCACTTGAAATTAGGGATGTTAACGATTTCATTTTTCAGAAAACGATCGTTTCGTTATGAAAACGACGATGAAAAATCGAAATCGTAGCGATCGTTTTTAAAACGATCGTTTTTTTTAAAGTTCGTTTATTAAAAATGGTCGTTTTTAAACGATCGTTTTTATGAAATTCGTCGTTTCGTTAACGATTAAAACATAGTTTTCTTTAGTTTTATGAAAACAAATCCTTAGATTTAGCTGAATAAAAATTGTACCCTAAATAATAAGCCTAAAGGGAATGGAAGCGTATATTTTAGTGACTCTCCGCACAAAGATGACAATGCCCGATTTACAAGGGTTCTCTTGAAACCTTCATCTGATCAAAAATGTGGAAGATATTGTTATTTTCTATTTCAAGGGTACCTATATAAATCGGGTATGGTCATCTTTGTATAAAGAGGTTCACTTAGAATTACGCTTACAGTCCCTTTATCTGTTCACAGTTATTTAAAACATCAATTATATGGATTAGAAATAACTATGCAATGTTCTTGCTCGGTAGACAAATGATTTTAAAAAATCGTTTATTGTTTGAAAACTAACAAAGACTTTATTTAGCTACGAATATTACTATTTAGGGACAGGGGCGGATACAGAACAGTGCCCTTTTTGATTGCCCCCCACCCCCTCCTGTAAAAAATCCCTGCAACCGATTAATTGATACTTGTATCTATTAATTTTGTTTTGAATAATTAAATTAGGGTCTTAAATAACAAATTTGCCGCTATCAGATTAATACTAGACACTGTAACAATAGCCCATAAGTACCACCAGAGTACAGTCTATTCTTTTATTTATACAAATTAACCATTTTTCTTTAATTAACAAAACATTACCTAATCGAGAGGGGGATTAACTACATTTTGTCTTAGAATAGAAAAATAATCATTTTTAAAGAAAGAAATTTCGTTATTTTAACAAACTAAAATGTAAAGTTTTCTAATAACCATGATTAAGTTGAACAACCTTTTAATCTTTGTGTTAAAACTAATTAAAAAATAATTAGGCCGAGGGTGAAGGAGAGTTCGCCTGCGCTAATGACCCTTGCGGCGAGGGCGCTAGTTGCTGGAACGGTCAAGAGGGGTCATTCTTGTGTACCTGCGATACTAAATCTCTTCCTAAAGGTAAACTCCTCATTTTGAAGGGGGTCGTAAACGTTCAAACAACATTTTTTTGTCTAAAAAGTAACATTGTTGATTTTCACAAAACTGTGGACTATTTTGTATAATTCATCATGCAGTTGTTAACCTTTAAAAACCATCATATTTTTTTTGTCTAAAACTATTGTTTTTAAAAATAGTTTTGACTAATTGTTATATTTTTAAAACAGGCTGACGTATTAAAAAAAACGTAAATTTTCTCACTAGCTCTTATATTTTTTTAAGAGGCTGTTTACAACTGAACAAAACATATATTTTTTTGTCTAAAAATGTTGTTTTTTTTTGACTAACTGTTACATTTTTTAAAGGGAGTGTTCGCGAAAAATGAAAGCAGGTATAGGCTTAATGCGATAAAAAAGCGCTTTTGATCGCTACTAATCTTACTTCTATCTGTTGCGGTCTATAAGGAGAAAATTGTTAAAAACGACTAATACCTATAGTCATCGATTATCTTTCGCCACATTTGTATATAGTTGATTTTTCATAATATGTTTTAATTGTTATGATCTGAGAGTTACTTATAAAAACATTTATTCCTGTTTCGAGGATTTTTGGCAATGAAGACGACATTTTCATATTTTCCAGGAATGTTCGAAAACAAGTTGTAAGCTAAATATTATTTTAAAAAATAAAATCAAAACACATTATGAAAATTCAACTATTTCAAATGTGGCGAAAGATGATCGATGACTGTAGATTGTAATATCTGAATGATTTGTTTGAAATTAAATAGATTTTTTTACGGTCTAAGTCGTATGTTGATCTTTCTGAATTTGTATGGACACTACGTTCTTCGGTATTAGTCGTTTTAAACAATTTTCTCCTTATAGACGCAACAGAAGTAAGATTAGTAGCGATCAAAAGCGCCTTTTTATCGCATTAAGCCTATACACCCTTTCATTTTTCGCGAACACTCCCTTTAAAGAGACTTTTTAGTATTGACATATGTAAAAAAATGTGTTTTTTATGTTTAAAGATTATTTTTTTCACAACATACTGACAATACATTTTTTAAACAGACTGAATTGACATATTTAAAAATACACATAATACACAGATTCTTTTTTTTTTAGCTTAGGATCAAAACTAAATCTATCTAATCTATCTAATATATTTAATCTATCTAATCTATCTAATTTATCTAAACAATCTAATCTATCAAATCTATCGAATCTATCTAATCTATCTAAACAACCTAATCAATCTAATCTATCTAATTGATGTTACGGATTGTCCAATGTCCTTATGTAAAATCACAATAAAAATTTTTCGATAATTCTGGTCAGACATAGTATTCCTTCCAATAAAAGAAATTAGGGAACTAAAAGAGAGCCGAGGAAAGTGAGCAATCTCTTTAATTTTCTTTTTCTCCAGGAAACCCATACAGGAAGTGTGTTCAGTGTGTTTATACAAACGATTGTCCAAGTGGTCAAGAATGCAAGGTAACTATTGTCTAGTGTTTAATGTCTAATGTCTAGTGTCTAGTGTCTAGTGTCTAGCGTCTAGTGTCTAGTGTCTACTGTCTAGCGTCTAGTGTCTAGTGTCTAGTGTCTAGTGTCTAGTGTCTAGTGTCTAGTGTCTAGTGTCTAGATAGTGTCTAGTGTTTAGTGTCTAGTGTCTAGTGTCTAGTGTCTAGTGTCTAGTGTCCAGTGTCTAGTGTCTAGTGACTAGTTTCTAGTTTCTAGTTTCTAGTTTCTAGTGTCTAGTATCGACTAGTACCTAGTTTTTTTGTGTCAAATGTCTAATGTATATTGTCTAGTGTCTAGTGTCAAATCTCTAATGTATGGTGTTCAGTGTTTAATGTTAACTGTTTAGGATGAGAAATGTACCGGCCAAGATGAAAAGGTTCCGGACGAATTCGTCCAAGTTGGAAATAATTACTATATAATCAGGAAAAAATCAATTTAGAAAATATTTTTCCAAAAATCTTTGAGATTGTTTGAAATGTAATATTTTCAAGATATAAGAAACAATTTACAAAGTTCAGATGGAGAAATTTATTTGAAAGGAAATATTAATGTTTAATTCAACTTCCTTCAAATGAAAAAGTTTGTATTTCAAAAAAGAAAACCTTTGAAGATAAAATTTCAAACAGATTAAAATTAATAATTTTAAAGTTTAGCTATTAACTGTTTTTATTTGTTTTAAACGAGATAATTCTAGAAAATAATAGTTATATACACTTAAAAGAATCCAATACACTTTTTTCGTCTTCGAAGAAAATGGCGCGGAGCCGTACACAGTATTGGGAACTCCCAACTCAAAGCTACGCAAACCAAGTGCTCCCACGACCTGTGAAAGTGAAAGAACGAATTTTTAAGAAACGTTTGTAATTTTATTAAACTGGTTTTGTTGCAGTAAATATCCAAGCAATCAATATGAATATTGTTTTCTTATTAATCATTCCCTTTCTTGCATGTGTACAAATGTGTTCACGATTCAAAGCTGAGCTGTCCCTGGATTCTTTATTATATTTTCCTTCCACTGCAGTACACATATTAGACGCATCAGATTTATGGCGGTTCCTATTTCTTGGGTTCACGTATTTCCGTCATTGATTAATTGATTAATGTTCATAGTGATGATTCTCTACCTTGGCTTCAAGCACAATATTACTGTATGAACAAACAAGGTTTGTTGTACAGTTGTACAGTTATACAGTTGTACAGTTATTTGTTGTACAGCTGGACAGTTGTACAGTTGTACAGTTGTACATTTGTACATTTGTACAGCTGTATAGTTATACAGTTGTACTGTCGGACAGTTGGACAGTTGGACAGTTGAAAGTTAGAAAGTTGGACATTTGGACAGTTGGACAGTTGGACAGTTGGACAGTGGACAGTTGGACAGTTGGACAGTTGGACAGTTGGACAGTTGGACAGTTGGACAGTTGGACAGCTGGACACTTGCACAGTTGCACAGTTGCACAGTTGCACAGTTGCACAATTGCACAGTTACACAGTTGCACAGTTGCACAATTGAACAGTTGCACAGTTGCACAGTTGCACAGTTGCACAGTTGCACAGTTGCACAATTGCACAGTTGAACAGTTGCACAGTTGCAAAGTTGCACAATTGCACAGTTTCACAGTTTCACAGTTTTTAATTTTTATAAATTAAACTTTGATGAATAACTTTTTCTTGATTCTAACTTTATAGAATTTCTGGATATTTATGCTTTATTTAAAAATAAGTTCTGGAAAAAGATTATTTTTGATTGATTGATAATCGTTTATATCTATATATCTTTAATTTGAAATTTAATCAGTTTATTAAGAATCCATCTTATAATTGTAGATTTAGCCTCACCATAACGTTTCGCCTTACTTGAAATGTTTATGTACAGATGGATATAGATTATGTACTGTATATAGTTTATGTATTGTATATAGTTTATGTATTGTATATAGTTTATGAACTGATGTATATAGATTATGTACTGTATATAGTTTATGTATTGTATATAGTTTATGTACTGATGTATATAGTTCATGTACTGTATATAGTTTATGTATTGTATTTAGTTTATATATTGTATATAGTTTATGTACTGATGTATATAGATTATGTACTGTATATAGTTTATGTATTGTATATAGTTTATGCACTGATGTATATAGATTATGTACTGTATATAGTTTATGTATTGTATATAGTTTATGTACTGATGTATATAGTTTATGTACTGTATATAGTTTATGTATTGTATATAGTTTATGTATTGTATATAGTTTATGTATTGTATATAACCTGAAAGATATATATGTATAGTGTATACATTCTTAAGGGGAAAAATATATACAGGATCTCTCTGAAAAATGTGTGTTCAGGCTTTTTAGTCTATTGAACATCATTGTTTTGTGTTGAAAAGTGCTTTTCGTCAGTACAATACCTATCAATGAGGGGGGGTCGTGGATGAAACATTTTTCTCTAAAATGCCGTTTTAACCTTTAAAATTAGGCATAATATTCGAAAATGTGCTCGGTCTCATTTCCGAAGATATGAATTGCCTTCAAAATGTACTTGAAAATGTACTTGAAAATGTACTTGAAAATGTACCTGAAAACCATAATTTTTCTGATCCAGGGGGGGGGAAGTCCTTATAGCCCCCCCCCCTGTGTATGCCTCTGAGTATATAGATCTTCATTCATATTTTATATTTTTATTTGATTAAAATTCCCTGTGTTAAGGTCATCTGGTGGAACTAGTCAACAAACAGAAAACAGACGAACTTCAAGCTTATCTTATTTCAAGGTAATAAGTTAAGAACAGCTCGATCGGCCACTGTATCGTTCCCACCTCCGCCGCCGCCGGCCGGTCGATAGCCAATTGGATTCAGTATCCTGTTGTACAACGTGAAATGTGTTATATACTGTAAAACGTATTTCGTGATTCTGTTGTATAATATGAACTGTGAATAATATCCTATTTTGCATTGGAAACATTGGTCCATACGGCATAAAGAAAATAAATCCCACTGGGGTTTTATGCTCCAATGCATTAAAAAAAAACCAAGGATTAGGCATAATTTACCTGATGAATATTTATGTCTACTTGAACGTCTCTTTCCCCCCCCCCTTCTTTCCTTCCAAAATTCAACTCACTCCTCCACTTCTCTGTAGACTTAGTAATTGATCAAATTTAATCAAATCTGAACTAAAGAAACACAATGAAAGGATTTTTTATAATAACATAGTTTGTTGTATTTTGTGTTCTATTCAGGTTTGCTGTATAAAATGTATAATCCTATTTGGAAGGATTAAAGGATCATTATCATATATTTATACTGTGTTAAATTATAAAAATGTCAGAGAATAGTGATTTCCCAACAGTTATTTTGGAGACCTAAGCTAATCATTTCTTAACCATGGTAAACAAGACTAAGTTGAACAATTGGGTTAGAATTTGTAATTTCAAATAAGGGAGCAGTCCCTTTTTGCAGAATTAAAGGATTCCCTAGATTATTGAATATTGAGTTTAAAATGGATTGATTGATTCATATTTACTTCACCGTGATCTAAAATGTGTATTAGCACACTTGGCCGAGCTGTACATTCAGTTATACAATGTACATGTGTAGGACTTCACAAATTTATATGTACATGAGTAGACCATGCAAAGGCAAAGGTAATGCGACACAATTTAAAAACTGATGCTGTCTGGATCTCTGCGAAATGGCTTGCATCACACAGACATAAAAATCTAATTTTGAGATGTTTAGTGCATAATGACATAATGGTTTTGTGTGCATTGTGCATTGTGCATTGTACATTGTACAGGGAAAACATATTTTTTTATATTTTAGACACGGAGGACAAGACTTCTGGGTTGGGGCTTCAGACCTAGATGCTGAGGGGACATTTAGATGGTTCTATTCAGGTGGATATTGATAATAGAGGGTTGTAGCAAATATCGTGTAAACATTATATTCTGTAAACCTGCAGTACGTTGTACATTATTAACAATTTATATTGTATACCTATACATAATTACATTATTCATTGAAGCTGTGTTTCAATTGAATACGTAGCATGATTAGATTAAATCATGTGATATACTTAAATTACACTACAAACATGTGTGGAGGTGGCCCAACTGCGTTAATCTATTCTCGCTAATCTTATAAATATATACGTACATTAAACTTTAACTGTCTTATTAATATCCATTGGATGACCGATTTCAAACTGCTCTCTCTATATATAAACAGTTTCTTTTTTATTCTTTATTTAGATGGTGATAGGATAGATTTTCTTACAGTTTAACAACAGATGAATGTGTGAGGAGAGTTTAAAAGAGTGTCATCTAGTAAGGAAGAAAACAAAGTATGTCTACATCAGCATCCATAGTTGGTTTAGGCCTTCCTGAAACTATGCTCATGGGGTCCAGGCATATAGATTCAAACATGCTTTAAGGCGTGCGCGTAACAATTGGAAAACAATTTGAAATGTACATTCTCTATACAGTAAAAAATGGGAATAGATCAAATGCCTAATTTCAAAACGACTGTGTGGTAAATATGTAATATGATTGTCTTAATCATATGATACAGATAACAATGTATGAATTGTAATAATTATGTCTATTCATGTTAACTTGTTACATAAGATATTTAAATAAAGTCAGTTATATAAAGTAACTCTGTACTCATTATCATTTGGTATCGATATATATAGCTTGTTGATAGCTGGGCTTGTGTCCTTCTGTAGCATTTAGACCACTGAAACCTTGTGTTGATATGTAACCAGGTTGAATTGTCCCCAGTATTTGGGATCGATATATATAGCTTGTTGATAGCTAGGCTTGTGTCCTTGTGTAGAATTTAGAGCACTAATTTGATAGTTTGTTGTATAGCTACGCTTGTGTCTCTGTGTGGCATTTAGAGCCAGGTGGGTTGTGTCCTGTTTGATAATAGCAAATAATAATAATAATAATAATAATAATAATAATAATAATAATAATAATAATAACAAAAACAATAATAAAAATTAGTTAAAGTATTTCCCTTGTTATTAGAGGATTAATATTATATGATTCCAGGAGCTGAGTTCTCTAAGGAGCTCTGGGCGGACCAACAAACCAAAAGTAAGATTTAGTAATAAAAAAAAATTGTAATATTACGGCACAGTTTTTGGTTCACTTCCTACTAGTTAAATTGCACCCATGAACCATTCACCGCTAAATGAAATATTTGTATTTGATTGTGTTCTTCCTAAGTTTGCTTTTATAACATTGTGAAAAATCTGTGGAATTTACTTTTAAAACAAAAAGTGTTTTCTTTTCAACAAGTATTTTACTAATTCAAATAACCATTGATTAATTAACAATACACACAGAACACTAGATATCGTCTTTTCAAGATTTAGGGTTTTTTCGTTCACAATAACCCTGAGGCCGAGGCCCAAATTAGTTACCCGCATAATCTTTAACTGTCTTGTAATTTAACTCGGAATTCTGTCTCAGGGCTATTGAAATAATATTCAATACTTTAATTAATATTTCTTTCCCAGACTCATCTCACCATTGTGTAAAGTTGAATGAAGACCAAGTTAAGTTCAGGTAATTCTTATTTTCACAGTATACTGTACAGCTTTGAAATTTTTATATTTTAGCGCATTTTCGTGTGATGCCCCGCAACATTATGTGTGTGAGTATATGCCTGATATCTACCTTCCAGCTGGAGAAAATGGACTCTCACATGCAGAAGGCAGAGCAAGGTATACAAAAGGACCCATAAAACAAGAGATTAAGAAGACGACATTAAAGTAATCTTACGTGTATTTGATGTTCTTATCAAGCAAATTGTTTTATCAGTAATATGAAAATTAACTCTGTCTATGTACATTGCACAGTGTCTGGGATTTATGCTCATTGGATTATTCAAATCAAAATCAAAACTTAAGCTTGACAGTCGTCTTCCTATTCCACAGGTTCATGCGTTCCAATGTAGTTTTCCTATTTTTTATAATTTGATGATCATTTTGATTTAACAATTATGTTTAAGGAAAGGAACTGAAACTTGTTTAAACTCTATCTATTTTATTATTTATTTTTGCTACAAAACTATAATCTCAAATATTTCAGGTGTTTTAATACACTCAACCCAAATATTTCAGGAGTTTTGATACACTCAACCCAAATATTTCAGAAGTTTTGATACACTCAACCCAAATATTTCAGGAGTTTTGATACACTTAACCCAAATATTTCAGGTGTTTTAATACACTCAACCCAAATATTTCAGGAGTTTTGATACACTCAACCCAAATATTTCAGAAGTTTTGATACACTCAACCCAAATATTTCAGGAGTTTTGATACACTTAGCTCAAATATTTAAGGAGTTTTGATACACTCAACCCAAATATTTCAGGAGTTTTGATACACTCAACCCAAATATTTCAGGAGTTTTGATACACACAACCTAAATATTTTAGGAGTTTTGATACACTCAACCCAAATCTTTCAGGAGTTTTGATACACTCAACCCAAATATTTCAGCAGTTTTGATACACTCAACACAAATATTTCAGGAGTTTTGATACACTCAACCCAAATATTTCAGGAGTTTTGATACACTCAACCCAAATATTTCAGAAGTTTTGATACACTCAACCCAAATATTTCAGGAGTTTTGATACACTTAGCTCAAATATTTAAGGAGTTTTGATACACTCAACCCAAATATTTCAGGAGTTTTGATACACTCAACCCAAATATTTCAGGAGTTTTGATACACTCAACCCAAATATTTCAGGAGTTTTGATACACACAACCTAAATATTTTAGGAGTTTTGATACACTCAACCCAAATCTTTCAGGAGTTTTGATACACTCAACCCAAATATTTCAGCAGTTTTGATACACTCAACACAAATATTTCAGGAGTTTTGATACACTCAACCCAAATATTTTAGGAGATTTGATACACTCAACCCAAATATTTTAGGAGTTTTGATACAATCAACCCAGATATTTCAGGAGTTTTTATACACTCAACCCAAATATTTCAGGAGTTTTGATACACTCAACCCAAATATTTCAGGAGTTTTGATTCACTCAACCCAACTATTTCAGGAGTTTTGATACACTCAATCCAAATATTTCAGGAGTTTTGATACACTCAACCCAAATGCTCATCACTCGCAGATATGTGGTCGGAAATTCGTCAGGTTAAACTTTTTTTAAAGAATTAATTCTGAGATTTAAAGAGACTGTTCGTGCATTTTAAGGTGACCCTCCAAACAAAGATGGCAATGCCCGATTACAAGACTTTTAAAAGCTTTGTCTGGTCAAGTATAAATTAAATATATTTAGATATCAACGCGCGATTATAAGTTTAAAACTGATTATTTTCATTTGTGGATTATCTACAAAATTGGCTTACGCATTTCTACTCTTGGAAAATATTTAGGAATTATCAAAATTGAACACTTTTAAACTTAGAAAAACGACAATTTTTTTCCACATTATTGATCAGATAAACTAACCCTCTACTGAAGGGTCACTTATAATTACGATTATAGTCCTTTTCAGGAGTTAAAACTCCTTTTAGGAGTTTAAACCCATGTTCAGGAGTTAAAACTCATTTTCAGGAGTTAAAACTCCTTTTCAAGAGTGCAAACGCCTTTCAGGAGTTTAAACTCATTTTCAGGAGTTCAAACTCATTTTCAGGAGTTCAAACTACTTTTCAATTTAAATGTTTGCTCAGCGAGGGAGGGGGTGCAGGGCCGCCACGAGCCCCGCAAATGACGTGTGACGACCCTTAAACCCTAGAATAGATATTATAGAAGTAATAAATAACATATTTGAAAGAAGATATTTAATCTTTAAATAGTTATGAAGTGTTTTCTTGAACATCCAAAAAACATTGCATTACTATTTAAATATTAATTTTTTTTCTAAAAATTTTTATACATTACTTCTATAATATCCATTCTAAGGGATAGGGGTAGCCCCACGTCATTTAAATACTTATCTGCTAGTCCAAAAGGTTGGAGACCATTTCTGGGGCTCATGGCATCCCTGCACAACTCCCTAGTACTAGCACAGTATGTGACTAAATGCGAGACACTATATGATGGTGATGATCTTACAGGTAAGGAGTCCTACTCTCTTCTGAACTTTCTTCTAAACTTCCATTGCCAGTCTGTGAATTTGGAAATATCTCCACATTTATCACAATCATATAGAGAGAGTTCAAACAATTAATTCCTTTACACAAAACATTATTAAGCCCTGACATTGTAGGATCAACAACAATCCTACAAGGGGTGCTTAAGGATTCTTCCCTGAAAACAGATCTCCACAAGAAATAATGTCTGATCTCAGCACTCATGATCATTTTTTGAATTTCTGCATCTAGACTCTTAAGAGGCACTACAAATCCTTTCTCAGCAACCTCACAATGAAACTTTACTGTAGCAGCCCTTACTTCAGGAGCCTTTCTTCTCTGTTGTTCAAACGCTTTCAGAGCCATTCTCTCATTAAAATTACTATTCCACAACTTCTTCAGGATGGGAATAGAATCACAACGAAACGGAAATCTACTAAAAGTAGTCTTCTTCTCCAAATCAATATCAATCGATTTATTAATTATTTCTTCTTTCATGATTTCTTGGATAGAAACCTCTCTGGTCTTATATCCAGCTTTACAAGCTTCACAACCAGCACATCTTGCACAGCTATATGTGATTTTAGAACCAATATCTTCTTCCTCTTCAAATCTTCTCTCTAACGCTTTAGGTTTAAGTGGTTTAGTAACACCTAAGCTATACGACAATTTATCACAAGTTTCCTCACTAAAACTATCGAGATTAGCATTAAAGATGCCGATATCTTTATCTACAAGAAAACTAGAGTTCAGATTATTGGCATTAAGTATGCGATTATCATCACTTACAAGATCAGAATCAAGTTGATCAATAACCTTGGAATCCCCAGGAAAGTAACAACATCTGCAAAAAGCATAATCTAAATCTAGAATTTCACCTTCTTTACAACTGCAGGCTGGACCACCTACCAGACCACAATTTTACAGGTTCATCCTCTTCCACAGTAGCATGAATAGAACTGAAAGGAACTACAGAATCATATTATCAACATCTATTCCACAGGACTTTGGTAGAAAGTAGCTTGGAAGATCCAAAGCATCAAGATAGGACTCATACTCATAGGCAAACATAACTCTAAAATTGTTATTCCCAGAGGCTAGGGATTTGTGAATTTGAGTAGCTGAATGATGTGGACCACCGAACATAAGGTTAGACCCATACACATCTTTTATAGAACTGCGGAAAACCATAAGACCAGATGGAAGAGTCATCAGCAGTTTTGGCATCAAATAACTATCTTTGATACCAATAATCATCTTGATCTCATCACCTCCAACATACTTAGGAAATTGCTCTTTAGCAATAGTAGAACCTTGGCTAGCTATCTTCACTTCCTTCTCCATTGCAGAAAGATTATACTGCGGTATTTCAGAAGTGATTCTTCTCATGCCAAGAAGACTTATTGGAACATACTGTCCCTGCTCTGATGGGCCTAAAATACAACTAAAAATTCCATATCCAGTTGAAACTTCTCCGCCTCCAGCTACACAGATAACCCTAGGTGTGCTATCTACAATTTTGAAACCTGCTTCACATGCAAAGTCTCCCTGAACAGCCGAGGCACTAGCACCAGTATCATAAAGTACAGTAACAGCACGTCCATTGAACGATAACTGTTGCAGAAGATAAATGCTATCTTCAATTGTTTCAGGAACAATCTTATTAAGTACATCTTGGCTTCAGTCACTGAAGCTGAGGTGCCAACTTTAAATATGTTTGCCCGCATGAGGGAACATATTTTAACTAGCGCTCCGCTAAGCTTCATCCACTGAACCCAATATCCACAATGAAAACTTTAAATAGCAGAATTTTACTATTTAAATGCAAAAATGGCAACGCGCGATACACAACAGTATCCTTTAAACCTTTATCTGATTAATAATGTGGAAGATATGTTCATTATTCTAGGCTTAAAAGTGATAAATTTTAATGATTGCTATGTATTTTACAGCAGTAGTAATACGCAAGTAACTTTGGCAAAACCTCTAATTAAAAATAATATTTCTGGGGGAATTGATAAACATTGATATCAAATTCAACCTTGATCACTCAAAGTTTTAAGGGTACCGTTGTGAATCGGGCATTGCGCTAATGTCTATGTATGGGGATTGGAGGGTCACTTGAAATTGCGCTAATCTAGACGAAGAGTCATCCATCGTTAGTAGGTTTAACAGCCATGGGGTGAAGGAACCGTATCAGCTCTATTTAAGCCACATCAGATTAAAGAAACAAAAGTTTTTCCCTCAGATTTAAATTATAAAAAAGATTAAAACTTTTTTGATTCCGATATTTTCTAGTTCAACCGATATTAAATCTAATAATACACTTTTAAATTCAGAAATGGGCGAATTGTAGGAGGAGGGGTGGCCAGTTATGGGGAATGGCCCTGGCAGGTTAGTATATTTTTTACATCATCTTTTAAAATTTTTAAAATTATACTAAACTAGCTTGGGAACCCTGCTCTGCCATTCTCCATTAGAATCAACCTTTATCTAGGCTTAGAACTTGAAACCTAGTTAAGAAGTCCGCATTGTACTACCGAGTTCCTCATTCAAAATTTGAGGCAAATCGGTCAAGGGGTTTCTGAGTTATGATCATACATCCAAACAAAATTCCTAACAGAGATTACAACATTTTTTTTAATTTTTATGGAGTTTTATGGATTTTTTTTCTTTACAATTTTTATGTTTCAGGTTTCTCTTCGTCAGTATAAGAACGGGCAGTTCAAGCATAAATGTGGAGCTGCTCTTCTTACAGCTGATTGGATTATTACAGCTGCTCACTGTGTCAAGGTAAACTAAAAAGATAAAGCTGCTGTTCTTGCATTTAAGTGGATATTAATCGCTGCAAATGATTTCAATTAACTGGTTTTTTACATGATAACTGGATATAAAAGCTGCTTTTTTACATGATAACTTGATATAAAAGCTGCTTTTTTACATGATAACTTGATATAAAAGCTGCTTTTTTACATGATAACTTGATATAAAAGCTGCTTTTTTACAGCTGCATTGGTTGGATATTCAGAGTTACTCATTGCACCAGGATTAGATAACTGGATAGAAAAGCTGCGTATAAACCCTAGAAGGAAAACTTTTATGACATTATTCCTATTATTTATTATTCATTTTTAGTTTTCTGTGCAATCCCAAAATTGCAATTGTATCATAACTTTCCGTAATTATGATTGTTTCGAAGCAAGAATTCTCAACAGATAAATCTTGTGTTTAATAAAGTTCTAGCTTGCAGAGTTTAAAATTTAAAGTTCAACTTACCCTTCATTTATAAAATTTCCTGACTGATTCACAACGAACGGTACCCTCGAAAACTTTATTGCTCAAGAATAAATGAGATTTTCATGTTTTTAACTTGTTTATTTTCAGTTTTGGTTTCTTTATAGAAGTGGGGATTTTTCCAACTGAAACAAGAATTACATATTTGAAATGTTTAATTCAGGATATAGCTGCCAGTAACCTGATGGTTAGGATTGGGGAATACCATGTACTAAACAGAAACGAAGCTCATCCTCACATAGACAGGAAACAATTTAATAATAGTTCAGTAGTCCTGTAGTTCAGTAGTCCAGTGGCCCAGTAGTCCAGTAGTCCAGCAATCCAGTAGTCCAGTGGTCCAGTAGTCCAGTAGTTCAGTAGTCAAGTGGTCCAGTAGTTCAGTAGTTCAGTAGTCCAGTAGTCCAGTGGGTCCATGTTTTGAAATTAGGCATTTGATCTATTCCCATTTTACTATATAGAATATGTACATTTCAAATTGCTACGCGCAGGCCTCAGAATATATATATATATATTCTGAGGCGCAGGCACATATGTATGCCTGGATCCTAAGTATAGCTTCAGTAAGGCCTAAACCAACCATAGACGCTGATGTAAACTTACTTTGATTTCTTTCTTAATAGATGACATTCGTGTAAGTAATTATATGAAATCATTATAAAAATTGTTCTTATCAATGTTATATTGTTGCTATAATACTTCAATCTATTTCAGTTAAACATCCAAACTCTCTTCTACCAAGTAACACCAAATGAATAAAGAATTAAAGAAAGCACAGTTTATAAAGTGAGAGTAGTTTGAAACCGGTCATTCTAAAGAAATCAATACAGTCCAGTAGTCCAGTAGTTCAGTAGTCCAGTAGTCCAGTAGTTCAGTAGTCCAGTAGTCCAGTTCAGGGAGAATGTTTTTACAGTGAAAATAGTTCAATCTTAGAATCTTCTGTTTAGAATTATTAGGGCATTTTTTTCCCTAATTCCCTGGTTTTTTTACAGTGAATTCCAGTCTTCACAATTCTTGGATTTAAGTTAGTCCCCACTCTAAATCTTGACAAATTCAATTTTCTTACAGTTTGAAACTTTCAGAAGTTTCTTCTTTGCAAAGCATACATGATACAATATGTTATTACAATGAGAATTTTTTATGAGCAGAAAGCATCAAACATTTTTCAGTAGATTTTCAGCTTAAGTGTTATTCAAGGTTTATTCAAGATTAACTTAAGGTTTACTCAAGGTTTCTTCATGGTTTACTTAAGGTTTATTGAGGTTTATTCAAGGTTTACTTAGGGTTTATTTAAGGTTTACTAAACCTTTACCCAAGGTTTATTAAAGGTTTACTCAAGGTTTATTAAGGTTTATTCAAGGTTTACTCAAGGTTTACTCAAGGTTTATTCAAATTTTATTCAAGGTATTTTCAAGGTTTACTTAAGGTTTACTCAAGGTTTATTCAAGGTTTATTCAAGGTTTAATCCAGGTTTATTCAAGGTTTACTCGACATGGTTTACTCAAGGTTTACTCAAGGTTTACTATAGGTTTATTGAAGATAATTCAAGGTTTATTAAAGGTTTATTCAAGTTTTACCCCAGGTTTATTCAAGGTTTATTCATGGTTTATTCAAAGTTTACTCAAGGTTTACACTAGGTTTACTGAGGTTAACTCAAGGTTTACTCAAGGTTTACTCAAGGTTTTCTGCAGTTTTATTCAAGGTATATTAAATGTTTATTCAAGGTTTACTCAAGGGGTTTATTGAGGTTTATTCAAGGTTTACTTAAGGTTTACTTAAGGTTTATTCAGGGTTTATTCAAGGTTTACTCAAGATTTACTGCAGGTATACTCAAGGTTTACTCAAGGTTTATTGAGATTTATTCAAGGTTTATTCAAGGTTTACTCAAGGTTCACTCAAGGTTTATTGAGGTTTACTCAAGGTTTATTCAAGGTTTATTCAAGGTTTACTCAAGGTTTATTGAGGTTTATTCAAGGTTTACTCAAGGTTTACTTAGGTTTACTGAAGGTTTATTGAGGTTTATTCAAGGTTTACTCAAGGTATATTCAAGGTTTATTCATGGTTTCAAGGTTTTTTCAAGGTTTATTGAGGTTTATCCAAGGTTTATTCAAAGTTTATTCAAAGTTTACTCACCGTTTACTCAAGGTTTATTGAGGTTTATTAAAGGTTTACTCAAGGTTTACTCAAGGCTTACACAAGGTTTATTCAAGGTTTATTGAGGTTTATTCAAGGTTTACTCAAGGTTTATTCAAGGTTTATTGAGGTTTTTCAAGGTTTACTCAAGGTTTATTTAAGTTTTACTCAAGGTTTATTCAAGGTTTATTGAGGTTTATTCAAGGTTTACTCAAGGTTTATTCAAGGTTTACTCAAGGTTTACTCAAGGTTTACTCAAGGTATATTGAGGTTTATTCAAGGTTTATTCAAGGTTTATTCATGGTTTACTCAAGGTTTACTCAAGGTTTACTCAAGGTTTACTCAAGGTTTATTCAAGGTTTACTTAAGGTTTACCTAAGGTTTATTGAGGCTTATTCAAGGTTTACTCAAGGTTTATATAAGGGGTAAAATCAAAAAAAAATCAAAATCGTCCCAGTAATGTCAAATTGTTTCCTAAGATCTCTCGAGCGTACGTTGTATTAAAATATAATTCTTATGTTTTCTGAAATATCAAATATTAAATATTTCAAAATTAACTCCGACTAAGGTTGCATGATTTTATCTAAACTTCAACTTTATCCAGTAAGTATGGCATTATAATCTAAAATTAACAAAGTCCAACTTAGGGATGCCAAAATGTATGCATTTGAATAAGTTAGTCAGGATCTAGATACTCTAGGGGCTTTAATTTTTCGGTACTTTTATGAATTGTATGGTTTATATTGAATTGTATGGTTTATATTGAATTGTATGGTTTATATTGAATTGTATGGTTTATATTGAATTATATGGTTTATTTATATTGAATTGTTTGGTTTATATTGAATTGTTTGGTTTATATTGAATTGTATGGTTTATATTGAATTGTATGGTTTGGTTTATATTGAATTGTATGGTTTATATTGAATTGTATGGTTTATATTGAATTGTATGGTTTATATTGAATTATATGGTTTATATTGAATTGTTTGGTTTATATTGAATTGTATGGTTAATATTGAATTGTATGGTTTATATTGAATTGTATGGTTTATATTGAATTGTATGGTTTATATTGAATTATATGGTTTATATTGAATTGTTTGGTTTATATTGAATTGTATGGTTTATATTGAATTATATGGTTTATATTGAATTGTATGGTTAATATTGAATTGTATGGTTTATATTGAATTGTATGGTTAATATTGAATTGTATGGTTTATATTGAATTGTATGGTTTATATTGAATTGTATGGTTTATATTGAATTGTTTGGTTTGACCCAGGAGAGTGAGGAAGGTTGTGACACACAAACTGTTTGACAAGTTTACTTACGAATATGATATAGCACTTCTACAAGTTCATGGGGATAAACTAGACTTTCAGGTTAATATGGCACATATTCAGACAATTTAAGACATTTTCAGCCATTTCTGGACATTTTAAGTCATTTTCAGACTGTACACATTTTTAGTCATGCTCAGACATTTTTCAGGCAATTTTTAGTCATTTTTAACCAGGAGAATAATATTGAACATTTCCAACAATTTTCTGACATTTCATGCATTTCCAACCATGTTATTTTTGTACCATTGGAGTTAAATATTTCTGACAATCATCATTTTCAGACATTTATATAGTTTTGTAACATTACCATTTAAGATGTTAACATTAATTTTACAACAACAAAAACAATTTATTTCAGCCAAATATAATCCCCGTCTGTCTACCTGAGAACAACAATAACCTGGTCGGTGAGCAGGCCTGGGTCACTGGCTGGGGGAGACTTTCAGAATACGGTCAAATCTCACCTGTCCTCAGGTACATAATAATAACAATGATAATGATAATAATAATAAATAATACTTCTACTACTACTACTACTACTAATAATAATAATAATAATAATAAGAATAAGAATAAGAATAATAATAATAATAATGATAATGATAATTTAGGGAGGTTAGTCTGCCAATTATATCAAACAGTCAGTGTATGAAAATGTACAGGTAAAATCAATTCTAGGAAACTAGGTATATTTATTCAGTTTTCTGTTTCTGTAATATTTCATTCTTATCCATAACGTTTCCCATAGATTTCCTTGAATTTCATTGCAAAAACGACAATCGCAGATATGAATAGAAAATACAGAGTTTAAGATAAAGATGATAAAGAAATAATCGATTCAACCATTGATTTTATCGATAATTTCAATTCTAGATGTTTCCAATCAACATATTACTTTATAGAGGAATTCTTGTTATGATTTACTTGTTGGTTATTAAATTAATCGAATCTTTAAAGTAAACCTTCAGAACTATTCAGCCTCTTAATAAAACGAGTTATCATTCTTATCTAGTAATTACAGATTGTAAAAACTTTCCTATGTAAAAAATGAATCTTAATATTTAATTTGCATGCATACCTAGCCAGTCACTCCCTTTAAAGCAAAAAAGCAGCCATGGAGACTGACTCTCTGAAGTCGGCATTGTACCATTTCAATTTCCATTATTCGTATCCCCTGGGGTTCAGACGTCTATTCCACTTATTATTCTTCTAATTTGTCCATTAATAAAGAATAATTTTATTTATTCATTGTTTCTATTCCTTCAAACTGATGATAAAAACACAATAATTTTTTCACGAATTTCTCTACATAGACCCGTTAAAGTGACTACAAGCGTAATTCCATGCAAAGATGGCAATTCCCGATTTATAACAGTACCCTTGAAACCTTTATGTAATTAATAGTTAAGAAGATATTGTCTTTTCTAATTTTAAAAGTGATAAATTTTGATAATTCCTATATATTCACCAGTAGTAGAAATGCGTAAGTGTCACTTTTGTAGAGAACCCACAATTGAAAAATCTCAGTTTTCAAAATTTAAAACTTTCAGACAAAGCTGTTAAGGTTACTGTTTTAAATTGGGCATTTTCATCTCCTATTACGCTTACAGTCCCTTTAAGGTAGGAAAAAAGATGAAGAGGAAATTTTATTAAATTTGTTCAGGAGTTCTGGTCAGAATGAATGGATTCCAAAAATATTCATCTGTGCAGGCACCTCCACAGGTATAAATGCATTCATTATTTTATTCATCCTTCCTTTATCAGCTATTCATTACTTCATTTACATTTTAACAGCTATTCATACCTTCATTCTTTCTTTAATACATATTCATTATTGCAAAAAATCTTTAACAGCTATTCATTACTTAACATTCATACTTTAACAGCTATTCATTATTTCATTTATTCTTTAACAGCTATTCATTACTTCATTCATACTTTAAATGGTATTTATTACTTCATTCATTCTATAACAGCTAGTGATTATTTAATTTATTCTTTATTTCATTCATTCTTTAACATCTATTCATTGCTTCATTCATATTTGAAATGGTATTCATTATTTCATTCATTCTGTAATAGAAATTCATTTCTTCATTCATTCTTTAACATCTGTTAATTATTTCATTCATTCTTTAACATCTATTAATTATTTCATTCATTCTTTAACAGAAATTCATTTATTCAGTCATTCTTTAACATCTATTCATTATTTCATTCATTCTTTAACGTATATGTATTATTTTATTCAATCTTTAACAGCTATTAATTACTTCATTCTTTAACAGATATTCATTTTATCATCCATTCTTTAACAGATATTCATTATTTCATTCATTCTTTAACAGCTATTCATTATTTCATTCATTCTTTAACAGATATTCATTATTTCATTCATTCTTTAACAGCTTTTCATGACTTCATTCATACTTTTACACGCAGTCATCCTTTCAGTCATACATTTATTCTTTAATTATTTTATTTATTCTTTAAATGGTATTAATTATTTTGTTTATTCTTTAACAGCTATTCATAACTTCATTCATTCTTTTACAAGCATTATCACACTTCATTTATTTTTTAACAGTTATTCATTATTTCATTCATTCTTTAACAGCTAGTGATAACTTCATTCATTCTTGAAACGGTATTCATTATTTCATTCAATCTTTAAAAGCTATTATAAATTACTTCATTCATTCTTTAACAGCTATTCATTAGATCATTCTATAAATGGTATTCCTTACTTTATTTATTCATTGATTTGTATTCATTAATTCATTCTTTCTTTTACAAGCATTCATTACTTCATTCATTACTGCTTCCATTCTTTTAAAGGTATTCATGACATTATTCATTCTTTAGAAGTTTTTATATTTTCATTCATTCTTTAAAAGATATTCATTACTACTATTATTTAAATGGTATTTTATATAAACTATACGTTTAGTAATGAATAATGAATTGGAAAAATTTAATGTTGATAATTTTTTATTGAGATTTGTTTATAAAGGTTTATTCTAAAGCGGGTTCAAACAGTCTTACAGTTTATAAATGTGTTGAATATCTGTATTTCTCTCAATGTGTTGTCAGGGAAAACATACTTTTCCTTCTTAATCTTATTATTATTATTTTTTGGGCATAAACATAGTGATTAACAGATTGATTAAAAAAATGATCAATGATTGTCAATATTAGAATAATGTAGTTTTAATTTCAAGTAAACTAGCATTTAAGGAGGGGCATACCAGATTCTTTATCTCTTCAATAATGTGGAAGATATCGGCGTTTTTTTGTAGCTGAAAAGAGTTTAATTTGGTTGTTTGTATCATGTTTTTAGTCACCTTCTAGAGACACCAGAATTTAAAACAAATGTTGAGAGAAAAAAGGTTTTGAAGGAAACCGTTGTAAACTAAACTAATTCTTTACTTGAATGAAACTTTTGTAAACTAAACCAATTCTTTACTTGAAGGAAACCGTTGTAAACTAAACTAATTCTTTACTTGAAGGAAACTGTTGTAAACTAAAGTAATTCTTTACTTGAAGGAAACCGTTGTAAACGAAACTAATTCTTTACTTGAAGGAAACCGTTGTAAACTAAACTAATTCTTTACTTGAAGGAAACTGTTGTAAACTAAAGTAATTCTTTACTTGAAGGAAACCGTTGTAAACGAAACTAATTCTTTACTTGAAGGAAACCGTTGTAAACTAAACCAATTCTTTACTTGAAGGAAACTGTTGTAAACTAAACCAATTCTTTACTTGAAGGAAACCGTTGTAAACTTTAAACCAATTCTTTACTTGAAATTGCGTAAACAGTCACTTTAATTTAAACTTTGTAACTAGGGGGAGAGGACAGCTGTGAGGGGGATAGTGGTGGACCCCTTGTTGTTCAGGTAGAACTATAGTTTATTTCATTTAATTCTTTAGAGACAGGTATTTTTTCCACTCAATTAACTATTATTGGTTCCTGTTCCTGTTCCTGTTCCTGTTCCTGTTCCTGTTCCTGGTTCTATGTGAGAGTCACCACAAAAAAATATTGAGAAACTCTGTAGAACCACGGACATTTTCATGAGTTAGAATAAGACATACTATCAGTGATTACTATTTTACACAAATGCTTGGAAACCCGGCTTTGCCTGGAAACTAAGATTTCCCCACTAAAGTAAACACCTAAACTTTTAAATTGAGCGGAAAGTCGGACATACAAAAATCGAATACTTTAATAAATTATTATTTTGCATCTTAGGGTAAAGATGGAAGGTGGCAGCTTGCAGGAATAATCAGTTGGGGGATTGGCTGTGGAGATAGGTATTATAATATTATTATTCTTATTATAATTATTATTATTATTATTATTATTATTATTATTATTATTATAATTATAATAAATACATTTTACATTTTATAATTTTTTACTAAACAATTATTAGCCAGGGCTACAGCCTAACCATTTCTGGTTGTTTTGATTGGCTGTCCCTCCAAAGTTTTATAGATACATTTTATTTTTTAAAATTAACAAATAACGAATACATTACACAATTCACAAAGTAATTTTAAAAGAAAGGGAAAAAAAAGAAGGATGGGTGAATATTATTATTATTATTATTATTATCCCGCATAGAACAAGCGACGCTGTTTTAGAGTCTGAAAACGACCCGCACGACCCCAAAAACGGGCGCCGGCCCGACTCTATTTTAGTACTAA